TCATTGTCACTATTTCAGTCTATTAACTTCATTGTACGTTTAACTAACTTAAACTCGCCTAATCCACATTCATCGTAGAATCGAACACGTGATACCCGACGCAGTAACGGACAGTAGTTCAAAGTTCAACACTCAATGTCCCGGATTCACTTATCGCCAAATTATAAATAGGGAACTAACGCGATCTCTTCATGAGTCACACGATTCAGCGTTAAACACAACCAAGTTCCTTCGTTCGACATCAAACACCGCGCCGCGATAAGAATTCAAAATACGCCTCGTTGACACGTAAAACTAACAAACCAGCCAACACACAAAAAGGGCACTTAACGCGACGGCACAATTACAATGATTTCCAGACAATCAACCGAGAGACGCTCTCGAACAAGGAATGCGCGGTTCGAATCCTAGACCGTATATCTACTCGGCGCTCGCGTGCGAATATCTGCGTCACCCGAGCAAGTTAAATATTGCAAAATTCACTTCAAACGCAATCACCATATAATTTGCACAATTACTTTCAAAGAAGTTACTTTAATCGGTCGAACACAATACAAGCCTCTTGTCAAGAACTTAAACCCTAGACAACCTAATCCGAGGCGGTTTTCACGAAACCCATTACGTAGCGACGTAACATACACTAAATCTAACCATCTGGACCCTACACCGGTTGCGTGAACTTCTGCCGCGATAAGCGAGATACGCGGATTCACCGCATCGCGGCCAACGAGCTACTAAGCTCTCGCCCACGAGCGTCACACGCTGGGAAGCTGCCTACCGCTAACCCCTCCCCGCGATGCGCGTGACACCTGGTGCCATCGGGCGACTCACGAAGTCGAACGTGATTGGATGTCGTACAAAATACCTTTTTGGGCCTAAACAATTAATAATATATAATTTTAAAGGAGTGGAAGCGGTAAAAGAAATAAATGGTGCTCTAATCTAGATCTTGATCAATAATAAAATAATTATCGAGCAAAGCTCGCCTTTGTTTCAGGGAGACATCAATGCATGGTTGTGAATCATGGGTTTTTAAGAAGAAATATAAAAGTAAGATTAATGTAGTAGAGATAAGAGCTCTTAGGATTATGTGTTGAATTTTAATTCCACGCAGTACACAGAGTTAAACATAGCGTTGCGAGAAAACAATGTGGATTGATAATACATCGACCGTGTACGACCGGAGATCTCTCTTCTATACATCGACCAAGTAAGCTGAGTGACTAATAAAGGGCCAAGCTAAAAATCCAGCTGAATAAATATAAAACATAACCATTTAAAACATTAAAAATAATGACCTGTATGGAGAGTGATTTGCTGCTTAGATGCACCAAAGTACATCCACAAAATTTCCGCGGCTAGTTTACAATTATAATTTTTACACTTGAAAACTCGCATAATATTACGGTCTCGTTTTCGTTTAATGAGTTTATACTCTCGTATTTTTTTTGCTACTGGTTTATCCAGGTGATGACTTATATTTGTAGAATGTTGCCAGGCTGTATTTACCACCTTTAGATTTATATATTTTATGTAGATTGGACAATGTATCTATAATATATTGTATCTGTTCGTTTATCCTTTTCCGTACGACATCCGGGTTAATTTTTCAAAGAGTAAACACATTTTATATTTAACTTCAAATATATAAATAATGATATACCGTTATTGCAGTTTTTGAAAAACGAGTAAAAAAGGCTTCTACTTTTATTTGCAACTATCCCAAATTGAATGTGATTTATGGCCAACAACTAAGCGTACGCGCGCTCCTCTGTGTGCGATTTAATTCACAACAATGTTGCTAACCGAGCGACCCTTAGGGCGCGTTCCCACGACACGCACCCGCTACGCGCACACCACGCGCGTTAGCACCCGCGTCTAACTCGCTTTGAAATTTGTTGCATATAATTTGAGTCTTATGACAAATCAATAAATCTAAATCACATTGTGTTGGTTGTATGGATAAAAAGCATGTGATACAAGCACCTGCTAATTCAGGAAGTGAATTTTACAACTATAAAGGGTTTTTTAGCGTTGTACTATTAGCACTTATCGATACAAAATATCGTTATATTATGTATGTCAGCGTAAAAAGTCAAGGCCGCATATCTGATGGACGTGGTAGAGCCATGCTGCAGCAATATTAGTAGTATAGTTGTAGCACGAATGGGTCGGCTCGACCGGGGAAAGACCACGCTCTCACAAAATACCAGCGTATAATAGCAGCTTAACGCTGCTGTGTTTCGTATGGTGAGTGTAGAGAACCGGAGACCCTTTTTACTGGACAAGAGGCATTCCATCTTAGTCCTCACGGGTGACAACGCATCTGCATTTTGAGTCTTTATTGAGGATAGATTTAGATGTCTATGGGTAACCAGTTACCATCAGGTGGACTGTGTGCTCGTTTGTCACCCTATCCTATAAAAGAAAAAAAAGAAAGGTGTGTTTTCCAATTCAACACTAAAAATCATGTTGGAATACAATTTACTTAACCGATTCGTTGCGGCACCGGTTTTCGACAACTTTTAGCTGTGGCGGCGAACAAATATTTCGTGACACGCCTGGCGTCTCAAGCGCCACAGACACGCCTATTGTGCCATCAGCCATGTGTAAAAATAATTTTCTTTTTTTTTTTTTGCTTTTTCACTTGTTTAGACCTAATTAAGTGTAGTTGACATCAAACATCAGTTACAAACGGAAGAATACTTGTTTTTAGTGGGTAGCTACGTATTTTTCTACATGTTTTCTTTGAAATTGAGAGTGTTACTTTTTTTATGCAGAGATTACAAAGCTTTTGTACTATTTTTTGTATTATAAAAAAATATTTATATAAGTAGGTACAGCTAAATCACCCTGGAAAACCTTGTTATTTATTAAATTAAATTTTCACCTAATAATAACATTTGTAAATATCAAACAATCAAGAACCTTATTTTGGAAAAAATAAGGTTCATGGTTCATTGATATTATTTAATTTTATACAAATGTAAAAGTAAAGTCGATCCGAAACCGTCTAATTAGTAAGAATAGCAGAACAAGTGTTTTCAAAAGGAAAAAAATGCCGGCGCTGTACGGCGGCGGATTGACAAAAGACTACTTATTAGCGAACTTTTTTATGCATGAACAGTTTCGAACTGTTTCAAGCGAAAATAAACCTTATATCATATTACAAGAACACATGGTACTTCGTAGGTCTATTCGGCCATATGATAATAATAAGACGGCAGTTTAACCATTTTAAGCAAAATTAAATAATAAGACAAACGCATTGTTTTTTTTTAACAGGAGACATGTTTCCAGAGATTTGTTTACAACTTGAGTTTGTCAGCGATCGCAATGAGTGCTATTATTTGTTACTTATTAGACTATTTTTCCACAACATGATTTAAAAAACCCACAAAGTAAAAAGAGTACCATGTACAAGTTAAAAAAAGGTTGTCAACCCCTAAAAATTTCAAATTTTCAAAATATCCAGAAACGAAGCTGTATGCATGAACTACTTGCAAAATAATGAATATTTTGTTCAATCTTCCAAAAACGCAATTTGAGCTAGTTCTCACGATTTAAAAAAAGACACGACTCGCGTGTCATACGCCACATAGTATATAATATAAAATATACAAAATACATAGTATAAAATATACAAAAGTAATCGATGGCACGCCTGGCGTGCCATCCGCACTGAACCGGTTAATCTGCCTGCTCCACTTCCAGGAAGAATATTACCTACGCCCTACGTATTTTTGTCAGATGATGTATTCTCGTTAAATAAAAACATGAAACCATATCCAGGACTTCACAATTAGGTTCTAAAGAACGAGTTGGAAGAATTAATTAAAAAAGTCTCAAACATTCTGTCCTTTTTATCTTTTAAATTCAAAATGTGTGGTAAGGCATTATTTAACTGATTTTACTGCGCACCCCCGACATTCGTAAGGGTCGATCGGTAGGTAAGAACGTTATTGCCCATAAAAATCACAATCAATTTGGGATAATTTCAAATAAAAGTAGAAGCCTTATTTTACTCTTATTTTTAAAAACTGCAGTATCGGTATATCATTATTTATATATTTGAACCTAAGTTTGAAATTTGGCTACTCTTTAATAAATATCCTCCTCTCATATCAGAGAGCGTTTTATGGGAAGTAAATAAAAATGTGTTAGTATAAAAAATCGAAACTTAAGCAAATCGGAAAAAGATTAAGTGTGTTTTTTAAAAAGTGTAAGTACCTTATACTTACAATTTTTAAAAAATCTGCCCATTAATGGTAGTAAAAGTAAAAGAAAAATAGTGATGACTCTTTTAACTTTCAGAAATGGATAATCTTTTATCCAAAGTTTTGTCAACTTCGCTAGTACAGTGGTGTCGATGGAAGTGACCGTACCTATTTTAATGTAAACTTAATTATATAATTATTTACGGGTAAATTATAAAATAAATTTCAAATAAAGTAATTAATTTTAATTAAGTTTTTTTTTAAACAACACTATGTACACCTTTCCCGGTGAGAGATCTCCCTTTTTCCTTCTACTGCACGGCCTCAAGGTGATAAATCAGCACATACAGTTGCAATTAATAATTTCATTGCTACCATTGGGGTTCGGACTGTGCTCTTACGGCGAGCACTTTGCCCCTGTCCTACCACGGCTCGTTTCTTGCCGTGTAAGATTAAGATGAAATACCTGTCATTTGCTGTAATGGATAAAGGAGTGACATTTTAGTTCTCCCATAATAGATACCACTCTTATAGTTGTATTGCTACTAGGCACTTAAATTATTACGAAGGGAATGCAACAAACAAATAATTTTTATTCAGATACTAAGTTTTTAGAATAATGGTAACAGTATTGAAGTTGAGCCGACCTGAATACTTTAAAAACTACGCCTACGAATGCATACACAAAAAAGTTACTAAGAAACCTTTTTGCTTAAGTTATGGAATAGAGCACAGAGAATAAGATGATCATTAATAAAAAAAAAAAAATAATGTCAAAAAGTCAAAGTTGACAAAACAAGAAATTTTGCGTTTTTATTTTTTATTGAATAATTGTAAAAATGTGACAAATTCTACGAGTGAGTACCCCTGAATACTAAAATCATTCAGGTCAAAATGTATAAACATCGCCGCCTCAGTCGTCCGTTACCAAAGAAGTTTCCCAAGGATGTAACTGTAACTAATGTAATGTATGATAAGGGAAGAAAGTTTGATGACTTCGACAAGAGGTTTTTTCCAAACATTTTGACAAACCGAAGCTGCTACTTCAGTCCGGATCTGAGGGATGCAGGGCAACTTACCGACTATGTAGCCAATGAAGAAGTAGGTATAAACATTGATTACTCATTATTATTATTATTTAGGCCATCATAAATTTAATACGACAGGGCAGGGGTGCTAAGAATCTCCGGTGGAGATTTGGTTGCCACCTGAAACGATCTTGAGGACTGACGAGAAGATCCTGGAACTGGAAGAAGGGATAGACAAGTTGCGCTGGAATATTATAGGATTATCTGAAGTCCGAAGACAGGGGAGGATACGGTAATCCTCGAATCCGGCAACTTGCTCTATCACCAGGAGGGCGACCATCTGTCACAAGGAGGTGTCGGATTTATCGTCCACAAGTCTCGTTGACAACGTTGTAAAGGTTGGGAGTGTGTCGACGAGGGTTGCGTACCTTATTCTCAGAATTACTAAACGGTATTCGCTGAAGGTCATACAGGTTTACGCACCAACATCGGCACATCCCAATGAGAAGGGGGATGAAATGTATGAAGATATCTCTAAAGACATACATTCCTCAAAACACCTATACGATGTTAATGGGAGTTTTCAATGCAAAACTAGGCACAAGAGAGAACGGTGCGCTGAAGTTAGGGAAATTTGGAATAGGGCAACGGAACTCAAGGGGCCAGCAACTGGCCGACTTCGTGGAGAAAGAAGAACTCTTTATGGTGAACTCTTTCTTCCAGAAGCGGCCCCCACAGAAAGTTCTTCATTCCTTTCGCTCCGTCCCCCTCTTGTCTAATCCAAAGTCCCGAAAACTTTCAGCTCGAGTTACAAAATCGCTTTCAGTGCCTAGAAGACTGCAATGCACTGGACGATATGAATGACAAGTTCGTGGAAACTATCCATGCGGTCGGAGCTAAGTTCTACAAAACTCTCCGATCACACTTTAATCTCATGGCTGTTCGACGGAAAATGAAGCAGCAGTCTTCAGCACACATAATACAGACAACTAAATAGACAGATCTCCAAATGCATGCGGTGGGACTTACGCAGCTTCAATACAGCTCGTACTGAAGAAGTGATCGAGCTGGACCAGGGCTCCAAAGTATTTGGCAGAGATCTGTCCACCAGAAAGAGTAAACTATTGAGACTGAAGACCGAATGTGGCGGCATCTGTACAAGCAAGCTGTACATGGGAAATCATTGGAGCCACACGCAAGTGTGAGTAATGATCCAAGAGCAAGTCTTATCTGACACTATTCCGATGATATTCCGGATGTCAGTCTGAGCCAGGATGGAATTATAGCGCAGCTTCTGAAAGCGGTTGGAAAACCAGTACTTGAAATCCGTCAGAAGTTCTTCTATCCTGTCCTCCATGGTGGCACTACTCCGGAGGCGTGAAGCAGAGTTTTGTTCCTCAAGAAATGCGATAACGCTCAACGTCAACGCTTGAAGGACTACAGACCAATTTCCTTTCTGAGTTTTCGAGAGTTATTACGAATCGTCTCGCACGCAGACGACGTCTTCCAGTTTCCTGAACAAGCAGGTTTCCGAAAAGGCGTTAGCACAATAGACCATATATATGTATACCTTCGTCAAATTGTACAGAAGACGGAACAGTAAAATCCGCCACTTTATCTTGCGTTTTTGGACTATGAGAAAGCCTTTGATTCCGTCGAAATTTGGGCGGTGCTGCAGTCTCTTCAGCGGTGCCAAGTTGACTGTCGGTAAATCGAAGTGCTAAAGTATTTGTACAGAAGGGCTACGATGGCTTTCCGAGTAAAGAACCAGAGTACGAATCCTATCCAACTGCAGGGATGTGTAGGACAAGGTGAAGTTATATCTCCGAAACTCTTCACTGCTGCATTGGAAGACTTTTTCAAGGTACTGGACTGGAAAGGATACCGTATTAACATCAACGGCGAGTACATCACTCACCTTCGATTTGCCGACGATATAGTCCTCTTGGTAGAATCGCTGGAGGACCTTAAGCACTATGCTCAATGACCTCAATACCTCAGTGCTTCGAAACGGTAGTTGTTGGGAGCACCAAATTCACTAAGTTGTTGACGTGTACGTTTATTTTTGACAAATAATCCGACTAGGTTAATCCAATTTCGACCGAGAGGTCAATCGACGGATTCAACTCGGCTGGGCAGCGTTCGGGAGATTACGACACATCTTCTCGTCAGGTATACCTCAAAATTTTGAAAACGTGAGTGTACAACCGGTGTGTGTTGCCAGTGATGACTTATGTATAGAGACATTGTCCTTCACTGCTGGCTGTATGAGGAAGCCAAAGGTTGCTCAGCGAGCTATGGAAAAGGCTATACTCGGGGTTTTTCCGCGCGATAAACTTAGAAATGAGGTTATCTGTAGTACAACCAGAGTAACCGACATAGCCCAACGGATCAGTAAGTTTAAGTGTCAATGGGCCGGATCTCGAAGAACCGTCAACCGATGGGGAAGCAAGGTTCTCGAGTGGCAGCCTCGTACCTTTAAGCGAAGTGTGGGGCGGCCCCTCATGACCTGGTAAGGCATGGAGGAAGTCGATCGATGCAGGTGGTTCTGGACCGCGTTTTGTGGCATTCTTTGGGGGAGACCTATGTTCAGCAGTAGACTTTTAAAGAGCTGTAATGATTATAAAATTTAATACACATACAGAGACCACGAAAATGTTTGAAATAAGGTAGTCACTGACTCCAAAACACTTAAAAATTAGCGTGATATAGATACTGTTCACAGACTTAATAGAACAACATTGCTACTATTATAGATATTTATAATAACAGCAATGTTAACATTGTTAACATTCTTGCTATTTTAGAATGAAAAAAGATTGCAGGAACAGAACGGCTCGAATTGCCAGTCGAAAGATATGCAAGAGTTTATAAAAGAACTTAAGAAGATCATACACGATATTTTACCTAAGGGCAAACGTAATTCTGAGGATGTCCCTTATAATCTTGAGGGAATAAAAGAAGTTAGTTTAATAAATTTGCAGGACAATGATAGTGTGAATGAAATTGATAGGCTTACTTGCGAAGGAAGTGATGATCAACAAACAAACGGTGAGTTATCTCTTAATCTCTTTTAATTTTTACTGCAATGATCATGATTCATAAGTAAATGAGTGATCACGGTGCTCAACATATGGTGTGACACAGTTATACGACTCTAACAATGGTTTCATCTTTTCTCTTTAATTTACTCCTGGATATGCGCCTCAGTAGGGAATTACTCCTTACATCGTAGAGAATAATGCATGGGAATTAAGAGATCGCAGCTAAAATATCTCTACCATTGTCATTTTTCCCTCTGACTGGTTTATGTATTTTACATCTGGCATAAACAGAATAGTTGTAGGAGGACTTCTTTTCTAGTCCGTCTAGATAGGTACCACAGTCTTACTTATTTCTACCGCCAAATAGTCATCGATATAAAACTAAATGTAAATACATATATAAATGAAGTAAAATATCAGTTAGTCGCCTTTTTATGTTTCTAGGACAATCTAAGGACTCTCCAAAAAGTGTTTACATTTCTGATGAACCACGCATAAAAGTCATTGCAGAAAAATTCGCTCGATACAAAAACAACCTCGTTGAATTAAGAAAATTAAAAGAGCGCGTAGTTTGCATTGAATACGATGTATACGTCCGCGGCGAAGAATCTAACTCCGAGCCGTTTCAGAAATTAAGAGCATACTTTTCTGTTAAACCGGTCTCTGAAAATGAAGGTGGTATGTTGTATTACTTGTCTTTACGATAAATCTCAACTTTAACACGCATTGTGGCAATCTATGGGGAAGGCCTTCATCAGTGGACTTGTGATAAGCTATAACGATGATGATGATGAAATAATAAAACCGTATTGTAGCGGCGTAACAGAATACAAAACATGCTGTTGTAAGAGGCGACTGAAAAACAAAAGGGCATAGATTCTGACAGATGGCAGAATCTATTCCATCCATTACAGCCTATAAAACTACACGTTAAAAAAGGCCACCCTCATAGATTGCCTCATAGGGGGATTATGCCATAGTTTCCACGCTTGGCAGATGGGTTGTCAACCGCGATTTTTTATTATTTTGACTTGTTTTCAGGAAAATGCTGCCGCCCATCCTCGCTTTAATATACCTCTGCAGCCTCTTCCGACTCCCACTGGATGATATGGGGTAGTGGATTTTCTTACGCCGCACTTTTCTTTTTTAGCAGTTACGCCCACTTCACGTCTGATAATGCTTATAACAGCAGAAACGATACTATGAATGGTGGTTATTTACTCGATTGGGGATTTTTGGCAAGAACACAGTCATATTCATGACTTCATGAGTCAGTTCATGACCTTACTAATTATATTGTTACAAACTTGGACAATGGGCAGAAGGTTCTTGGCATATTTCTTGATCTCGCCAAAGCTTTCGACACGGTTTCTGTACCCACTTTTACGTAGGATGGAGAGTTTGGGAATTAGAGGTATACAACTTCAACTTTTTGAAGACTACTTGAGTGGACGTACACAGTACGTTCAGGTGGAGAAATTCATTAGCGCTGAACGCACAATTACCTATGGTACGCCTCAGGGCAGTGTACTCTCTCCAACTTTATTTCTTATATATATTAATGAAATGAGTATGCTCACTCTTCCTAAAGAGCGGATCATAAGTTTTGCAGATGATACCGTCCGCCTATTTAGCGCAGGTTCATGGCAAGATGTCTCCAACTGGCTCCGAAGTAATGTGCTGACACTCAACATAGATAAAACATGTTATGTCACATTTAAATTAAAAAAATAACACATTAACAACATCATCACCACCATATTCCATCATAAGTCACTCATGTTCCAACTCACTTAATAACGCAGATACCTGCATAAAACTATGTCAAACTGAAAAAGTAAAATATCTATGAGTTATAATTGATAGCACTCTACGTTTTTATGAACACATTAATACCCTTAATAGCAGGTTGCGTAAACTTATTTATGTTTTTAAAACTCTGAGAGATATGGCTGATGAGAAACTAAAGAAATCCATCTACTTCGCCTTGGCCCAATCTCTGTTAACATATGGTATTACCTCCTGGGGCGGTGCTCCAAAATCTAAAATGCTTCAATTGGAGAGAACGCTGAGAGCCATCTTAAAGGTCTCTTTTTCACTGCAGTATCGCTATCCTACAGAGCTCCTATATAAAGAGTTGAAAATTTTAACTGTGCGGCAACTGTTTATACAAAGTACCTTACTAAAACAGCATGCTTTATTAAAATACAACTCCTCACTCTCCCGAGATAAAAGGCGTTTTAACCCCGTGGGCCGCTGTCATATAACTCTATCCACCAAATTATCTAAACGTTTATTTTGTCACCTTGGAGGTTTCTTATACAATACAGTCAATAAGATTACCCCTATATTTAACGTTTACAAAACTATATGCAAAAAGAAAATAACTATCTGGCTCCAAGAATTAAATTAATATGACACCGAACAACTACTTACTAATTGTATCTAATTACTAATCGAATCGAAGTTAATTACTAACCCAGTCACAAAATAACAAACAAAAGCACACACACACACACACACACACACACACACACACACACACACACACACACACACACACACACACACACACACACATGCACACGCACACACTCGCACACGCGCACACACACGCTCACACACACACTAACACACACACACACAAATGCACACGCGCACACACGCACACGCGCACACGCTCACACACACGCACACGCGCACACGCTCACACACGCTCACACACACTAACACGCTCACACACACTAACACGCTCACACACACACACATACACGCTCACACTCACACACACACACACACGCGCGCACGCACACACACGCAAACACGCACACACACGCACGCACACACACGCACTCTCACACGCACGCACACATGCACACACACACGCACACACACGCGCGCGCACCGGCGCACTCACGCGCACACACACGCGCACCCACACGCGCACGCGCTCGCACACGCGCAAACACACACGCGCAGCCGCGCACACACGCACACACACACGCGCCCCCGCGCACACACACGCGCACGCACACGCACACTCACGCACACACACACACACAAACACGCACGCACGCGCACACACACGCGCACCCGCTCCCGCGCACATGTACACACACGCGCTCACACACACACGCACGCACACACACGCGCACACACACACACACACACACACACACATACACGCACGCACATGCACACACACGCGCACACACACACACACGCACGCACACACACGCGCACCGACACACACACACACACGCACGCACGCGCACGCACACACGCGAACAAACACGCGCACGCACACACACACACACGCACACGAACACGCACGCACACACACACACACACACGCACGCACGCACACACACACACACACACACACACACATTAATACTAGCACCACTTTTTAATATATCTAGAATCCTAATTAAATAAAAGAAGATATTATGTAAATTATAAATATGGTACATGTACGAGTGCATAATAAAAGTATTGTAATTACAACCATAGGTCGGAGACCTGGCGTCCTGAAATACAGGCGTAAAGCCTAGCTTAGGCACCAGTCTCCCACAGTATATTATTGAGGCTATACTATAATATTATGTACAATAATTCTGTATTGTGGTGAGAAAATAAAATAAATTATTATTATTATATCGCAATAGGAATCAAAGTTTATACACATTCGAAAACGTTGTGGTTGATAGAATATTAATATCATCATCAATAACAGAACTTTGTTGTCATTACAAAAATTATATCATCTCCAATTCGATTATTGGTTTTTAGACACAATTCCGAATATTCCATCTGCTATTAAAAGGGACTGTGATATAACTAATGAAGATTTTAAAAACGTATACGAAGGAATCGAAATGATCGACGCAAACATACCTGAAAATAAATCGTATCTCGAAGGCCTTAAAAGTGTCCTCAAACGGCAACAAACTATTAAAATTAAAAAGAACAAGGCTTTTGACCCCATGTATTTGTATGCTATGGCTAAAAGGGATAATCTCCTTTCAAACGACTATTCGTATACGGACTTTTTTTCAAAGGCCGAGTTGGATGAAATTAAAGATTTGATTATGAAGAAAACGACTTCCAGTGTACATGGTATAAGTAGAAGAAAATTAATACCAGAAAAAGATGACACAAAGATTAAAGAAGGAAATGAAGACGTAAAGAATACTATAATCGAAGACCTTTTCAGAGTCATGTAGTTTTAAAGCAAAAAAAAAAACGTTTTCGATATCCTTTTATTTAACAATCGTCAACATTTTAATAAATGTGTATCGAACTTTTGTATATCAGTGTATGTTTCAAACACCTATTATTTCCCATTTTCCGTTTCGTTTTGTACCATTTCTGGATTAAGTGCCGGATCCAGTCCAAGTTTCTTCATTTCTACTGCCATCTCAAATAAGTAATCGTAGCATTCGGTCCTAGAAGTTAAAATATTTAAATTATGTCTGCGCAGAAAAATTAAATGTAATATTTTAAATGATTCTATTGCCGTGTGGCGGCGACTTAATTGCATCTATTATCCAATTTTGTTCAGTGGATGGGTGACTGTAAAATGTAAGTGACTGGTAAATGAAAATATTTGATGTTCAGACATATGGCAGTATAACTATCTTGCTATCACTATAGGCAGTATTAAAGACGGATTTAAAAAGAAATCAGACAAGGCAAACGTAACATCATATGGATCAGACCAAAACACCGTTTTTTTTTTACTTATTAGAAGCCAGAGTTTGACCAAAATCTCATCTGGTGGTAATTGGTGATGCAGCCTTAGATTGTAAATCGCACTGTCTTAGCGTAACAAATGCCTATTCACTCTTGCCTTGAAGACGCCCAGATTGTATTCGGACGGAAAGATAGACACCGCCAAATTATTTCACTCCTTTGCTGTACGTATAACAAAAGACGTAGCTTCTCACGATCTCCCACTGTAGGGAGAATTTGCCATAATCTCCACCAGACGTCTCGCTCCTTTGACGCTGCTCCCCGTCGCCGTATTAAGTACGGCTAGCTATTGGAGATCACGAGGTTTTTTTAGCCTTTTCCATAGTCGGCTCCTACGACACTCACTTGACGAAATACAGTGACGGATTTTTTCACGCTAAGGCAACCTACCTACATCTATTCCTAAGAAAATGATTTTAATGGATAGACAAATTGCACTAAAATTGTTCGCTTAACGCTTTTGAAACTCTTATTTACGAGTATATATACCAGCGTACAGTCCAGCTGGTAGATGTTGAGCGACTACTCTAGCTCTTGGATAGCTAACTACAAATGAAGAAGGCTTTAGGTTTTTTATACTCTTCAAAATGGAACAAGCTTCTTATTAATAGAAATAGGTAAGCGGGCTGGCCCGACCCAGCGGACTCACTAAGAAGCTACTATAAACTACATAAGGACGCGTAGGACGTTACCTAGAAAGATAGAAAAAATAACGACAAACTGATTTTATAGTTACATATTTTTTAGGTTAGGAACTCCGAAATAAGGACGACAGTTATCCATCCATCAATAGATATACATTACAGCCTATAAGTCTGCTGCTGAACTTAGGCCTCCCCCATAGATTGCCTCATGATTAGATTTTGCCATCATAGTTGCAACGCTTAGCAGGCGATTTGGTAACGGCGTTTTATTTACGTGGTAGAGCCATGCTGTAGCTATAATAGTAATATAACTGTATCGACCGGGGAAAGACCACGCTCTCACTGAATACCACCGTAAAATAGCAGCTTAACGCTGCTGTGTTTCGCATTCCATCTTAGTCCTCACGGGTGACAACGCATCTGCATTTTGATTCGTAATCGAGGATAGATGTAGATGTTTATAGGCCACAGCAACCACTTACCATAAGATAGACTGTGTGCTCGTTTGTCACCCTTATCCTATAAAATAAAAAAAATATCTTTCTGATATTTTGAGTTCTTAACAGAAATGTGGCGGGTGTAAGAAAAAGGGTAGATCTTCCGACAGGCAAGGTGTTCTGCCCGGTGAGCGGCCACCGCTCCGACTGATAATTCGGAGCTATTCTATATATGCTGCTTTAACTTCGGAACTTTGTTAGCGCCATTTAGACTTCGACGTATTTTCGCTTATGGCGTGACGACAGCGCCGCCACAGAAACATGCTGCTGCCCATCTCTAGTTTCAGTATCCCCCTGTCGCCTTTTACGACACCCACGGGAACGATATGGGGTTGTGGATATTCTTACTCCGCCAATACACGCTCTACACTCTACACATACAGTTATAAATTCTAGCGAATGAAGGAGTAAAATACTTACATAGTTTTTGCCTGCTGCCACGTATCGCCCCACACATATACTCCGTGTCTACGGACCAGTACTGCACTTGTGCCAGGATATTTCCTTAATGCTTCACCAAGGCTACTCGCTAGATCCTTCTCGAACGGCGTGTTTTCAATGATTGGAACAACTAATTTCTCGTCGTATCGCAAGCAGCGCCCCAGTTGGGCATCTTTTATACCCTGCAAACGATAAGTTAAACAAGCTGCCTTACTTATAAAAATCTACGTTAATTTAAAAAAAAATTACTTTAAATCTTCTCTTTTTTCACTAAATAAAAATAGAAAGAAACAAGTATTTAGATAATTAATTAAGCGACTATCGCTTTGTAAGAAACAATTGTAAGGCCGTAAATCTATACACAATAAATCTGTAGAAAAGTCGTGCCTGTAATTCTAATATATTCTTGAAAAAGCAAGTCTAGGGAACTAAATAAAAGGTTTTGAAGCCGAGTCAGTATTTTTTAGAATTTTTGTCTGTCTGTCTGTCTGTGTATTCCGGATTCACGCAAAAACCACTGAACCGATTTACATGAAACTTTGTATGTAGGTAGTTAGTAACCCGGGGCAACTTATAGGCTACTTTTTATCCGATTACGGAAATTCATTTTCAAGTATTTTTCTTCCTTTAGGTGTTAATTTTCTATTATTATCTTAGACGGAACTTAAAAAAGAAGTTTAAGTATTTTCCTTCCTTTAGATTTAGATGTTGATTTTCTATTATATCTTAAGTTATAGGCGGGATGACGGGTGTCTTTCAAATAAATACCATATTTATAAATCAAGTTTAAAATATAGTTATAACCTTGGTAAAATAAGTTGAAACTACACCGATTTAGATATCAACAGCGTCATCTATCATTAAATGGAAAAATGTGATATATTTTGCTTTCAGTTACTAATAAATTAAATAATATAAATAATTTACATTTATATGTTTAAATTATTAGACTTTAAAATTATTTAAAAATTGTAACGTTTAGTTTTTTAGTATTATTTTTATTTTATTTCAAACGTGTAATAATTTTAATAGATAATAGTGACGCCTATCAAAAATAACAAAATTAATCTTTATGTAAACTGATTAAATCTGGTTTGTCTGTAATTATTGCAAAATTTTCATTATCATTATATTTTTATTAAAGAGATTTTTATATATGTCGATATAGCTTGACCATATCATTTAATAGAAATCGTTTGAAGATATTAACAACATTTTTACTAACTATAACTAATTAACGTTGCTATTTCATGATATGGTATTTCACACGTGGTAGAGCCATGCTGCAGCTATATTAGTAGTATAGTTGTAGCACGAATGGGTCGGCTCGACCGGGGAAGGACCACGCTTTCACAGAATACCAGCGTAAAATAGCAGCTTAATGCTGCTGTGTTTCGTATGGTGAGTGTAGAGAACCGGAGCCCCTTTTTACTGGAAAAGAGGCATTCCATCTTAGTCCTCACGGGTGACAACGCATCTGCATTTTGATTCACAAACGAAGATAAATGTAGATGTCTATGGGCCACAGCAACCACTTACCATGAGGTGGACTGTGTGCTCGTTTGTCACCCTATCTTATAAAAAAAAATATGGTCATATGACGATATCATTAAATCGATTTTTACCGCTAGCGGCGCTGATAGCTTATTTTTTTAATAGAAACAGAACTTTTAACAGAATTCACTTTATGCCTTATTTATATAATAAATAAATATTCGCTTCCATCGCTGATATTACTAGATAGTATAGTTTGGCTTTCATTATTTCATCTAATAATAGCGCCAGCTACATATAAGTCACTGATAAAATTAAATAATAGAATGCTACTGAATATACGATGTAAATAATTGAAAATTCGTTAGTAGCAACGTTGGAGGTGTAATTACTAGGTAGATGTAGTCAACAATCATACAAAAGCTTAGTTTTTATGAATTGTATTTATATAAATACGAAGGCCGTGTAGCTCGCCGTGAGATTTCATCATGGCACGGTAGCAAAGCGTGTACCGATTCCCTCGTGGACGAATCTGTTATAGAAAACTTTACGTGCTGACTTAACACGTGTCCGTCAAATTGGTAAAGAATAGCTCTGTGGGGAAACCTAGATGTCAGTTATTAAAAAAGTCGTGATGTGAAAATCGTTAATAAGCATTGAAGCATTGCAGCATACTCTATTGTTCTGCCTACAAAACACTATAGGTAATGAGGAGCCCTGTGCATAGTAGTGAGACGTATATTAGCTGCTACCTTACTTTTTTACCTTTAATGAGACTTATAAATCAGTTTGTAATTTAAGATAGCTTTCATATTTTCAGGCATATTAAGATATTTGTGACAGTCCTGGTTTCATAGCTCATATGAGTATAATATGTAAATGAACAGGCTCTTGCGAAAAAAATACTTTAATTAAAGAAAGCAGATTTTAATTAAACAAAGGTTCATTTTATTTTACTTGTTAAAGGCGGTAATCAAACTTATTAAAACTTAAATTTCATGGTACGTAAGCATTATTATATATTTTAGCATATATTTGAATTGCAATTTAAAGTGTCGATTTACCACGTTCTCGGCGGTGATGGAAAACCTGCATATCTGAAAAGTTTCCCAGTTGAGGTCAGCCCACGTTGCAATCAGCGCAGCGAACACTTTTTTGGCCAAAACTCTGCGGCCTGTGCCCATTAGTAACGCGTATTGTATGTAAGCTGCTACTTTTTTACTTTTCATGGGGCAATATATGATCAAGTAGCTGGATATTTGCCAGGATCCATCCATTTGGATCTGTTGTCAAGAAGATGATGCTGCCCATCTCCTGTTTGTTTCCCTATGTCGCCTCTTACGACGGGACGATATGAGGTGGCGGATTCTCTGTCACAGTCACAACAAGGTGAACATTTTTCTACTCCCGTTTATGAGTGTAGTGCTTCCCACGTTTACTGTGAATAAAATTTACAAGGAATAAAATAAATTTTAAGGATTTAATCGCGCTTAATTTTAACTTTTTTAATCCCCGATGTTTTGGACACTACAACACCCGTGGTTACGGGAGAACTGAGGTGTTTGACGCCCTGATGTCATAGTTAGAATATAATAGAATACAATAAATGCAGTAGTATGCTTGGGTTTGAATTTAATTTTATTAATTGTAGGGTACTTAGGATGGTAGCACTAAGTCATCTTCCCTATTCAAATTAGGATGTTTTTTTTTAAATTTCAATAGCCTCGTGAATCATCATTGGTAGGAATCGGTATTCTATTGCAAGGATTTTAGACATGTTGACATACTTTAGACTTCCCGGAGCGTCGCGGTGCTTCACATCAACGATATGTTCTTTTACGCGGGTTGTACGAGCAAGTACATCCTACGCATCAATTATATGTAGAGGGTTACAAATCACAAACCTCCACCTATACAGTTTTTCATGGAACTTTAAAAAAAGTAAAAAAAGTTAAAATTAAACGCGATAAAATCAGTAACGTTAGTTTCATAACATGTGTAGTATACATCATTATAGAACTGCATTTATGTAATTTTGAAGTCTACTCGAACGCAATAAAATATCTACATCTATTTTATGGTACCAATCAATATTAAATAGGACCAATGAGAGTAAAATATCTCAAATAAACATAAATCCGTAAATTGATAGAAGACCATGAAATTCATTATTATTTAACTTTAATTATGAATGAATGTGAAGAGTAAAATATAAATAATAGTGTTGCGCGCCACCATTAATGTCTTGTACATGGCAACACTAGTCACCACTAGCGTCCTCTAGTGTCGAGTAGCAGAACTAGGAGAGTCAAGATCCTTCTAGAAATATCGGGACCGATATGTACTCGAACATTCTCGATGTCGCTACAGTAGAAGGTTCTGGAAATTATCTGAGGCCCTATATAAGGCCGGTATAGACCACGACCGAGTCAGTATTGAATTGGCGATACAAGAGAATACTTCGAAGCGAAATAACGGCGAACTGTATTTTATTATTAGTGTGGTTTTAAATTGTAATTAGTGTCTGTAATTAAAGTATCAATTTTGGTAATTCAATCGGCAGTTTTTAATTGTATCGAACCCCAAGCTCGTAACAATTGGTGTCAGAAGTGGGATCAAATATGCCGATTTTACCTAAAGACGACACGGAGGGTATCCGTACCCGAAGTCAACGCCAACAGGAGACGGACCAGAGACGATTTGGTGGTGCAACGTCACAGACGACGGCGGGCCAATTGCCGACCACGGAGGCCGGCCCGTCAGCAGCTCCTGCATCTGCAGCACCTGACTTAGGTGCTCTGATGATGATGCTGCAGGAACAGGCTCGTCGACAGGAGGAACAGGCCCGCCGACAGGAGGAACAGGCCCGCCGACAGAAGAAATAGGCCCGTCGGTTGGAAGAGCAGCTGCAGCGCGGACAGGAGAAACAGGCCCGCCAACAGGAGGAACAGGGCCGTCGGTTGGAAGAGCAGCTCAAACGCGATAAGAGCAGATACTTCTCATGAAGGACCTTCACGCTACCTTCGGGAAAGAGATAAGGGAGGTGAAGGATAAGGTTGCTCAATATGACAACCGCCTGTCGGAAGCTGAAACCCGAATCGACCAAGTGTACCATCGGGTTGACAACGTGATGGCTGACGTGAAGAAAACGCTGGACGACCTCAAACTTGGGGATGGAGTTACAGCTCCCGTGGTTGCTACAACATCTTCGCTACGTGGATTCAATGTTCCACCCTTCGACGGGACTTCTTCCTGGTCGGCCTACAAAATTCAATTCAAGGCTGTCATGAAGGCGAAAGGCTGGAATAAAAGTCAGGCCATGACTGCTCTCACCCTAGGCCTACGCGACCAGGCCTTAACTGTTCTGGAAGCTCTCGATAAGGAAGTGACTTACGAGCAGCTCCTTGAGGCATTGGAGGCGAGATATGGCGACGCTCACCTGGAACACGTCTTTCGTGCGCAGCTCAAAGATCGCGTGCAACGCATTAACGAAAACCTTCAGCAGTGGGCCCTTGAGGTGGAGAAGCTGGTTCGAAAAGCATACCAGTCTGTACCTGCGTTCATTGTAGGGAACCTGGTGCAGACATTCATCGACGGCATCTGCGACTTTGAAGTCAGAGCTGCTGTAAGGCTCGGGCACCACGAGACGCTTAAGGACGCCTTGACCCATGCACTGGAGGTGGAAGCCGTGCGGCAGGATCATCGTTCCCATCTCGTCAGAGAGGTTGCAGCAGCTACAGTTCAGGACCGCAATAACGGCTACAGCCCTAGGTGCTACGGCTGTGGGGAAAGGGGCCATCTTCGATCCAGCTGCCCTAAGCGAACTGTAGAAAGGGAAGGTGATCGATCTCGAGAGGGTAGTGCGGCTAACAGCATCGCCCAGCTGCAGCAGGGAAACGAGTAAAAGCCATTACTGCGGGGCGGGTGCTGGCTGATGTTAAAAGAGCCCCAAGGATTTCGATCTCACAAACCCATGATGGGAACAGCCTAATCATCAAGGGCGAGGTCAACGGAACGCCGTGTAAACTGACCATAGACGCTGGAGCCTCTCGCACGGTTGTCAGTTCCCAACTTATAAGTCAATTCCTTGGGGACTCCGCATACAACCGAGAACGCATTAATTTGGTGACAGCCACCGGTCAGCGCATACCCGTCCGTGGAGAGAAGGAGATGGAGTTGAAGCTAGGCAACATGATCTACCTGCATAATGTCATCGTGGCTGATATAATGGACGACTGCATCCTGGGCCTAGACTTTATGAGGAAGAATTGTTGTGAGATCGACGTTAAGCAAGGTGTTTTGAAATGTGGACAAGAGAAACTTTTCGTGGAAGGGGCGTTACCAGGGAATGTGTACAGCCTTAAAAAGATTGTTCTTCCGCCGAGATCGGAAACGATTGTGCCGGTTAGACTTCCTCGGAATCCTGGGCAAACTCTTCGTTGTGTACTCGTGGAAAGGGTAGAAAATGACCTTCCATGGAAAGTGGCTCGAACCTTGGTCAGAACCGCCGACATATCAAGAGTACTTGTGCTGAACCTTTGTGATCAGGAACAGATTATAGAAAAAGGCACATTGGTTGGTACTAGTGAGGAAGTGGATTGGTTGCGTCGGTGCCAATATCTATCGACTGGGACCCCCAGCAAGGATGGAGAAACGAGAATGACCACACTTTTAGAAGAAAGTCGCAGCGTTCTCTCCCCGAATGAAATGATCAAGGCGAAGAAGTTGTTACTCAAGTACGCCGATGTTTTCTCGTCAAACGAAGCTGACAAAGGAAAGCCTGGCTTAGTTCAACATAAAATAAACACAGGAGAAGAATTGCCTATCCGTCAGCGGCCAAGAGGATTGCCTGTAGCACGTGAAAAGGAAGTGGAAACCATGATTGAGGGAATGGTGAAGGATGGTGTTATTGAACCTTCATCTAGTCCATGGTGTTCACATGTAGTGCTGGTAAAAAAGAAGGACGGCAGCATGCGGTTTTGTGTTGACTACCGCCGTCTGAACGACGTTACGAAGAAGGACAGCTATCCCTTGTCAAGAATTGATGATACGCTGGACATGCTTACAGGCGTAAAGTGGTTTAATACGCTGGACCTAAAAAGTGGCTACTGGCAGGTTGAAATTGACCCTAAGGACAAGGAGAAAACTGCATTCTCCACAGGAAAGGGTCTGTGGCAATTTAAAGTCATGCCGTTTGGATTGTGCAATGGCTCCAGCAACGTTTGAAAGGTTGATGGAGCTTGTACTTACCGGGCTAATTGGAGATGCCTGTCTGGTCTACTTGGATGACATCATCATCGTAGGCCGTACGTTTGAGGAACACCTTCAAAACCTGGAACGCGCGCTCATGAAGATCCAGAGTGCCAACCTCAAGTTGAGTCCGAAGAAGTGCTCACTATTCAAACGGCAAGTTAGCTTTTTGGGGTATGTAGTGTTGGAAGAAGGTATCCGCACGGACCCTGAGAAAATTGCCGCTGTCATGGATTGGCCGGTTCCAAAAGACAAGACACAGGTTAGAGCATTTTTGGGTTTTGGGCTCTTATTATCGGCGATTTGTGAAGAACTTTGCAGATATAGCCAAACCTCTGCACAAGCTAACCGAGGAGAAGTGACATTTCTGCTGGGATGAAAGTTGCGATATTGCATTCCAGGAGCTCAAGAACCGTCTGTGCAAAATACCTATTTTGGGGTACCCTGATGCGGGCAAGGAACTTATAGTTGACACAGACGCAAGTGATATAGGACTTGGCGGTGTGTTGTCTCAACGGAATGGTGATCAAGAGATTGTGATAGCATACTTCAGCAAGTCGTTGTCAAAGTCGGAAAGGAACTATTGTGTCACAAGACGGGAATTGCTTGCTGTGGTAAAGTCCTTGCAGCATTTTAGCAAATATCTTCTGGGGCGGAAATTCCACTTACGAACTGACCATGCTGCACTGAAATGGCTATTGCAGTTCAAAAATCCGGAAGGACAAGTTGCGAGATGGATTGAACTACTGCAGGAATACGACTTTGTGATCGAACATCGCAGTGGGAAATCTCATGGCAATGCAGAAGTCATTGTCAAGAAGACCTTGCCCTGAAGATTGCAAGCATTGTACTAGGCAAGAGGGTAAGGAAGTGTTATCTGTGAGGCTACTCAGTACAGACCAGCTTAGCAATGAGTGGAAGGACAGCCTACAACATGCACAGCAGGAAGATTCGGACATTAAGCCGATTCTGGAATGGATGAAGGCCAGTGCTCCTAAGCCCAAGTGGAGCGACGTCTCAGCGATGAGTTCGACCACGAAAAGCTATTGGGCCCAATGGGACAGCTTGCTGATTCAGGATGGAGTCCTGTGTCGTAAATGGGAAAATGGTCGGGGAGACAGTTGTCATTTGCAAATGGTGGTCCCTAAGGCTAAAGTACCGGATGTTCTACAGCTGTATCATAGTGGTTGTTCAGGAGGCCACCTAGGAGTTAAACGAACTCTACTGAAGATCCGAGAACAGTTTTACTGGGTCCACTGTCGTGACGATGTCGAGGACTGGTGCCGCAAATGTACAAGTTGTGCGGCTGTAAAGGGACCACAAAATCGTAGTAGAGGCGCATTGAAATTGTACAATGTTTGATTAATTGTACAATTGAAAATTGTTCAACGTTCCAAATCAAGAAGCTTCAACAGTTGCAGATAAACTAGTTCATGAAGTCTTCTGTCGTTTTGGAGTACCTTTAGAGATTCACAGCGATCAAGGAAGGAATTTAGAGTCTCAAATATTCCAGGAAACTTGCCGAGTTATGGGTACTCATAAAACAAGAACAACTTCTTCCCACCCACGATCTGATGGAATGGTAGAACGATTTAATCAGACATTGGAGAGGTACCTAGCAAAAGTTGTGGAAAAACGGCACCGAGACTGGGACAGGCACATACAACCGTTTTTGTTGTCATATCGAATCGCTGTTCACGAAAGTACATCAGTGACACCAGCTTTCGCAAACTTTGGGAGAGAATTACGGCTGCCTGCAGACCTGATCACCGGAATACCACCTGATTATAACCGATTATGCAAATGACTTGCGGAACAAAATGAATGACAGCAGACAGACGGGCCATGAAACGTCTGAGAAGATGAAAACACGATATGACCGCAAAATGAACAACAAAGGGTTTGACGAAGGTTCACTAGTGCGGTTACACAATCCAGTTCGCAGCAAAGGGAAATCTCCTAATCTTCAAGCTAAATGGGACGGACCGTACCGGATTGTGACAAGGATCAATAACGTAACCTACCGGATACAGAAAGGTGCCAGAGGTTCTCCTAAGATCGTCCATGTGGATCGACAGGCGCGTTATTATGGGGCCAATAATGCTCGGGACGAGCATGTCTTAGGAGGGGGCAGTGTTGCGCGCCACCATTAATGTCTTGTACATGGCAACACTAGTCACCACTAGCGCCCTCTAGTGTCGAGTAGCAGAACTAGGAGAGTCAAGATCCTTCTAGAAATTTCGGGACCGATATATACTCGAACATTCTCGATGTCGCTACAGTAGAAGGTTCTGGAAACTATCTGAGGCCCTATATAAGGCCGGTATAGACCACGACCGAGTCAGTATTGAATTGGCTATACAAGAGAATACTTCGAAGCGAAATAACGGCGAACTGTGTTTTATTATTAGTGTGGTTTTAAATTGTAATTAGTGTCTGTAATTAAAGTATCAATTTTGGTAATTCAATCGGCAGTTTTTAATTGTCTCGAACCCCAAGCTCGTAACAATAGTAATACATTTTGATTCCAAGACAATTTACCTTTTTTATGGATACATCGGAAGACACGCCCGATATAAAAAAATTGTAGGTGTTTCTAGACATATATATTCACGTTGTCCTGTAGCATATTATATCTATGCCAAATACCTAATCTACGTCTAGTCTTTTAGAATTCAAAAAAAAACTTTGACAGACATAGAGACAGACATGAAGGTGACTCTAAAAGTGATCGAATTTTGATAAATTTGGCACGGAACAGCATTTACCTAAAGATGTTTCTAAATTCAAGGTCACACGAGAGAAGCCGCTGGTAAAAAGCTAGTCCTTTAATAAAACCAATTTTTCGGATTCTGTCGCGTTTCTTTAAAACAATGCGGTAGAACGTGTAGGTAGGTACGTCAAATGAGTTACATTCTGGCCTCCGTAATAGACTGCTTCATAGTCGGGATATTTGTCGTAGTTGCCACGGTAGACAAGCGAATGGCAATCACAGTATTGTATTCTTTAGATGCCCAGTTTTTCCTAGTTTTTTCCCCTCTGTCGCCTCTTACGACACCCACGGGATCATATGGGGTAGTTAGTGGATATTCTTACACCGGAACTACAAGGTCAAGTAGGATAAGTAAGCTAGATATATTCAAACATTTTTAATTTTACCCTGCGAATGATTACTTCTACTAATGAGTAAAAGATACATCAAATTAAGCGGCGGTGTTCCCACCTTGATCATCTCCTGATGTGTGATGACAAACTCCTTGTCAAATAATAACGTGCAGCGAACTGCGTGCGGCGAATGCGTGTGTATGACAGCACCGGCGTTGCGTTCGCGATACGCTAACATAAACAGAGGTGTGCATTGACTTTTCTTGAGCCTACAATAGGAAAATTGAATCAGCTTGTTTGGTTCTCAGGTCCTCAATAAAGGTAAAGCCTCCCCATTACAATAATGTGCAGTAATGCCTATTCACAAACTGTGGCAACCCCGGTGACAAGTTGTAAAATACTAAACTATTTTAAACATTAAATATTGTAATTTTTTATTATAGGGTAGGGTGACAAACGAGCACACGTCCACCTGATGGTAAGCAGTTGCTGTGGCCCATAGCCCCATAGACATCTACATCTATCCTCGTTTGCGAATCAAAATGCAGATGCGTTGTCACCCGTGAGGACTAAGATGGAATGCCTCTTCCAGTAAAAAGGGTCTCACCATACGAAACACAACAGTATTAAGCTGCTATTTTACGCTGGTGTTCTCTGATAGCGTGGTCCTTCCCCGGTCGAGCGGACCCATTCGTGCTACAACTATACTACTAATATAGCTGCAGCATGGCTCTAACACGTAAAAAATTGATAAAATCCACCGCAATTTTGAGTTACAGTAGTTAAATACAACTTATTTGTATTTGTAAAATAAGTAAAAGTCATATGTAAGTATTTTAATTAAATTGTTTTTAGTGTTCCAACCAAAAGTGACAGTTGTAACGAACATCGTTTAAACTTACTGGAAGTGTAATTCTTGTTATCCCTTTAACATTTTAAGATTTACTTTTTAAGCAAGTGTTGCTCTGGATTGCATTTTGAATTATTTACATGATAATTTAATTTGAGATCTGTAAATAAACCCATACATCTAGACATTTGCTTACTCTGCTTCTTCAGTTTTCTTTCTTTGTTTTATTTTGCTATTTATACTTAATAGTAAAATGAATACACGCAACGCGAAAACGCGCCAATTGGAGAACCAACATCAAATGGCGCTTCAAGAACTTAAGGCGTCAAAGGAGCAGTGTGAGCTGTTGTGTAAAGAAAGGGATGACAATGAAAAATAAATAATAAATATAATTGCTAAAATACTGAGCTAAAAAGTGATATGGTTAAGTTGCATCAAGAATATACATTTGTTTTAAAAGCAAGGGATCAACTTAAGATAACAGTCGATGAGTTTGACCAATGCAGCAAGGAATATGAGGAATCCCTCAGATTAATTGCTGTATTACAGTTACAGTTAAGTGAGGCTAATGAGCAGATTATGCAATTAAAACTACATAGATAACTTGAAAGTATTCCAGATTCAAAGTCTGTTCAATGAGCTCATAGAATGTGAATCTTCTAAAGCATTTCAACCCTCCACAACAATTGATTTGACTGGTGATGATTATGTCACATCAAGAACAGCAGTAAGGAAAGAATTTGCCGTGCACATTAATGCAATGTGCACATTAATGCAATGTACCATGCCATGTACACGCTTTGTAACAAATTTTCATGGTCTTGTGCGCGCGAAACGTGCATTTCATACGCATGCTACGAGCATTTCAAGTCGCACGCGTAGCGATCCGTGATTTGTTGGTTTTTCGAACGAACACGAAGGAACGCCCTGTGCGCTCAGAGCGGCAGTGCGAACAGATTGTGTTAAGACGCGCGCGAATACGTTGAACACCTGCTGAAATATCATGTCTGCTATTAATTCTGCACCAGATCTCTGTCTGTACAACTCTGTAAACCACTTACTTCGAGGTCTTCGGCGTTTTTTTAATACCTCAAACCTCAGAGTCAGCAATTGTTCAGCAGAGCCAACAACTCAAATGCCAACATCACCTGCAAACAGTGTAGGTACTCTGATAATTCATGGATGAGGTTTTTGCTAGTGATTGTACGACAGAAAACCCATTCAATAATCCTGAATCAAATTTCAAAGAAAGGTCGGTAATGGGTCAATGGCGAGCATTACCAGAGTGAGTGAGTATTAGATCTGCACTCACTAACCCGCTTGCCGCTTTGCCCACAAAAACTTCCTAAGTAATGCTTACAAACTGTTGCATTCTTAGCCTTACATCCAGCTGTGGATTAAGAAAGTCAGTTGATGTGTGAAGTGTGCAGTAACAATATAGCGATACCGCCTTACTTTTTTTCTGGTGGAGGTAGTTCTAAGTCTTCGTCGTGAATAGTCTGTACAAATAAATCATCTGGCTTCATTCTCTCTTTCTGAACTCCAGATGGTGCAATGTAGATTTTTTCTCTGAAACAAAATATTAAACATTATGTGATATATTTTTTTACTAATTTGTTGCTCTCAACATAAAAGCTAACATGCAGTAAGTATTATATTGCAGTATAGCTATTATGTTGCAGTCAAAACTACTTACTTTTATATTTATATAATTTTGGTTAAAAGTAGTTTTGGGCAAGACTGCTAAACTAGATAACTTTTGACCAGGAGTATTTGGTAAGAAAGTGTTTGATATTTTACATAATTTAAAATTAAAAATTTTGTACTACCGACTTCAATATAAATTATTAAGAATAACTGAAAAACTATTGGTCAGACCTTGATCAAATTTATATGAGACTACATGAGAAACACCAGCTTTCAAATAAAAACAGAATCGTCGAAATTGGTTTACCCAGAAAAAAGTTATGAGGTAACACACATAAAAAACATAGTCTAATTGAGTACCATTTCCGTTTTGAAATCGGTAGAGAAACTTTGATCGATTTTAGGACAAATTTGTTTTCTGCCAACTTCCAAAAAGGAGACGGTACTCAATTCAACTGTTTTTTTTTTATGTGTGTTACCTCATAACCTTTTACTGGGTGAACCAATTTCAATATAAATTATTAAGAACAACTCAAAAACTATTGGTCAGACCTTGATCAAATTTATATATATACATAGACATTTAGCAAGTGGAAAGAAGTGGTCTCTGCCCACCCCTACGGGAAAGAGGCGTGATTATATGTATGTATGTATTTATAGTATGTCAAAAAATAAAATTTAAGATGTATACTGCTGGCCATATGATGAAGCTCTAGGTTGCTCAACAAGCTATGGAGAGAGCTACGCTTGGTGTTTCTTTGCATGGTAACCTTAAAAATGAGGATAACCACCAATATAGCCCACCAAATAAGTAAGCTGAAGTGGTAATATGCTGTCTATATAGCTTGAAGAACCAACAACCTATGGAGAGGAAAGGCTAAGTGAAGGGCGGCCTGGAGTGATAACCTGGTATAACATGCAGGAATTCAATGGATTCATGTGACTCAGGACTATGCTTTGTGGCATTCCTTAAGGGAGGACAATGTTTGGAGCAGTGTACTTATAAAGGGCTGTAATGATGATGATGATGAAGGAAATGTATAACAATACTTACCCTTCTTTTATAGATATACCACCACCAGTTCCTGTGACCCATCCCAAATGGTAAAACTGTTTGCAGAGTTCTGGAATCAGATTTCTAGGATGTTCCTGAAAATAATATAATTATTTATATAATAATACAATATATTTTCTTGTAATAGTATCTTTATATAACATAACATATTATATATATTGAGTTATGTGTAAAACCTTACTTTAGTTACATAATTTTTTTGAGCAAAGCAATATTAATAAAATGTCTATTTTAAAATATGATTATTAGCTACCATTACCAAAATTATTAATTAAATGTCTTGTGGCGGTGTAAGAATATCCACAACCCCATATCGTCCCATGAGAGGCATCAGAGGGAATAAAACCAGTAGGTGGGAAGCGGCATCTTCTTAATAATCACTAAAAAGGGTTGGGTTTAGAATCAAGTCACCTGAATTTGAGGAGTCTGTCACTGTGGGGGGTCAAGGGGGCTTATCTCAAACGCCCCCATGCAATTTTAGCTGTTGGAGCTGCATCAAAATATTTAAAATCATTTTCTAAAAATATTCATAATTCACTAATTAATACCTGAAACGGAACTTAAATTACTCTAAATTCTTAATGGGACTCACACACAAAGGATTGAGTCACAATGAAGAGCCATAAAGCGTTTTTATTTAAAAACATAATTACAATAATCCAGAGAATTTCGGTGATGCGATAGTGGGAGTACTTGTGGAGGCGGAACATTACGAAATATAATAAAGATCCATTTTTGGAAATGGTGAAAGTAATAAAATATGTTTACTTACTAAAGTAATTATAAAAGTTAACATTTTAGTGTTTTATTTGGTGCAAGAGCAAGCAAAGGGAGTTCGGGTTTTGGGGCACCCCGTCTCGGACAGATTAGGTCAGAAGGGGATGGCTGGGTCGAGTGAGCGAACGAAGCAAGCGAACAGACACCTCCATCCCCTTTGTGGTTATTTTTTTTAAACCATCCAGAAATAGTCAAGTCAAAGAAGTGGAAAATCAGACGAACAGTCCATTTTTTGGAACCTGCTCTAATTCTGTAAAAACTGATGACCCTGTCCAACATATCTACACCGCCCATCATGGTATTATATTGCTCTATTGCAAATGGTCTGTCAATTTGGATATACTGTTTAGTTTTTTTACACCAACGTCTGCATTTGTTGATGGGTTCTTTGGAATCAACAGATGATGCCATTATTACTGGTTTGTTATCAAACCACTTTAGACATGCCACAATACCGTCACTGCGAACGAGTTGATCCGAAGAACCACGTCCTTGTTTTCTCAACTCATTGTCAGTTTTGAAATTGCAGTTTTTAGGTATGTTTGCCTTTCTAAGAGTACCTGTTGCCTGCATCTTCTTTGAACGTAATTTGTCCAGTAAATCCAATGATGTAAAGTATCTGTCCATGTATAACTTAACTCCTTCAGGCAAAATTTTCAGATAACTTCAGCACAACTTTTCCGCCAATATCAAGACCTTCAGCTTCATTGGTTGTGAGTATTGTATAACCTTTGCCCTCATACATGAAGAAGTCTAAAGGCACACCATCTGGAGTAGTGCACACGAAGTTTTTTAAACCACAAGGGTTTGGTTTTCCTCTTATGAACTGCCGCATTGATACTTGACCCCAAAAGGGTATCATCTGCTCATCTACACTAATATGTTGAGATCTGGGAGTTTCTAGGCAAGCTTTTCTCACAGTTTTGATCAAAGGGTTAACTTTCCAGAATTTATTTTGCTTGGATGCTTCATCCACCTCAAGATCTTTTACAAGTTTCAAATTTGTCCGAATTTTAAAATAACGGTCTCTAGTCATGCGGTCTGCTATCATTGCAACCCTTGTCCTGTTTGCCCAATACATTCTAATCCTTGGCAAGCCCAAATAACTCATAGCTATAGATATGCCAAAAAACAATTTAATTTCTTCCTTAGTTGTGTTCAGATTTTGACCTTTCTTCAATAAGTATGTCTGGTTTGAATAATTACTTATTATTTCAAACATTACTTCAGGAATATATCTCAAAAAATATTCAATTGGTTCTTGTAACAAATTAACGCGACTTGCAGCTAAAGGTTGACAGTACATGCCTGGTGGATATGGAGTGAAATCATTTTCATGCTTGAAATATAGTCGACGACTTGAAGTCTGATGAGCAGCAACAGCAGCCAATGGTACGTCATCATCGCTCGAGTCGTCGTTTGAACCTTCATCCTCCAGCTCTTCCAGGCGTGGTTCAAGATCTTGACTGCCTTCGAAGTCATCGTCAGAAAGGCCTTCAACGGTAGAATCATTGCCATCAAACTCTAAAATTCTTGCTATGTCGCTATCCGTCATATGGACTGCAATACAAAACAAGTAAATGAATAAAACGATCGGATGAAAACAATTAAAATACCTATAAAAATATTAAGTCTGAAACCCCATGTCCCCTCTACGGGACAATCATGTACTTGACGCGATAGTCGGTAAAATATTTGCGGAAATTTGAAAGCAATATCTTATTTTTATCTTACATACTTTAAAAATGAACAAATACATTCGTTTTTAAACTAAAATGCGTTAATTTCAACAAAATCAATTAAAAACTTACCTTGGGCAGCCATTTTTTGCAGAAATTTTCAACCACTAACTTCAAGCTGTCAAAAGTTTACAAAAATGAGCGCCAAACATGGTTATTTTTTTTTTCAATAAGTGACATCTACATTGAAATAAATGTACTAATAATTAGGAAGTTACACTTTGATAGGCGCTGGAGGGCAGTACTAGAAAAAAGGTCTCGTATAGGGGACGCCAGGTCCTAGGAGGTTAACCACTAAAAATAAAAAACGCAGTTGCCAACCTGCCTATCAAGTGTGGTTACTATGACAAATATCCCCCTATAAGGCAATCTATGGGAGAGGCCTATTTCCGCAGTGAACTTTGTTAGTAGGTAACAGTAACAAGCAAAATGTGGAATAAGTTCAGTAAAAATGATACTACAACAAATGAACAAAGAAAATTATAATATATATTTTAGAGCAATATATTTCAGTTTTGCAAAGTGGCGATGTTTAGGAATCCACTACTCTATAATCCCGTGGGTGTCGTAGGAGGCCACAGAGACATGAAACTGAAAACAAGCAGCAGTTCTTATTGAGAGCAACTGTAAACAATAAAAATCACTCGCCCGCCAAGCGTTTTAATTGTGATAAATAACCCCACTATAAGGCAATTTTTATCTTTAGACTTTTGATAGGCTGTAATGAATGAATTAAAAATATTTTACATACATTTTTAAAGAACTGGTTTTCAGCTAATAAGCGTAATGTTACCTACCGCACTGATTTCGGCTAGAGCCATGTTTAGATGGTTTAAGATGGATTCTATTATAATAGAAAGACGTAGAACAATTTCTTATCGCAATGTTATTACTAATGTTCCTCTTCTTTATTTATGTTCTCTTATCAATAAAGTTTTCTATTGAGGGTCAAATAACTTTGGTATGTTGATAAACAATTTTAGGTAATACTTATGTATTTTGTCTTATAGGTTTATTTTCAAATTATACCTAGAATCTTTAATTGTGACTGATGTTTTATGTTTATGTAAATTATTACAATAAAAACCACTAACTAATGTAATATTATAGGAATAAAATTGCTAAAATATTAAATATTTTGACATATTTTTAATATTATTTTGTTTTTTAAATTATTTAAAGGCAAAGAGATCTACGTCTTATGACCATACAGCCTTGTTTTAGTATGACGTATTTTCTTCACAAAATTTTACGTTGTTTAGACTTTGGCCACAGTTTAGCCCAGCAGACAGTCGATAATGATGGCATCTCAAGTTTTCGAGGTAGATTGCAAAAACTGACACAAACTTAAGGTTTATTAATAGTCCATAATCGCGTGATGGGGGTTAAGGGAATCTATCACCTCATTTCGTCGCGAATTACGTGAATATAGCAAAATGCAAGACAAATCTTATAGTTTCCGAAACATAACGGCACGCACGGTAAGTAAAGCCTACCCGAATTTCATCACGTGAAATAAAGTTATGGAATAAAACTTGGGGGCAACTACTGAAAAAAACTTATGACATGAATTAAATGTCGCTATCATCATCAAATAAATCCCTGACTAAGGAGAACCTACCGTGCCGTAAAAATTCAAACCCAAACCTATTTAATGAACTTATCTTTTTATTATAGAATGAGGATGACAATAGACATCTATATTTTTGACGATGGAATGCCACGTTTCTTATAAACAAAAAGGTTTTCCAGTTTTCTACGCTCACGATACGTATTCTGTGAAAGCGTGGACTGGTCCTACCCCCGGTCGAGCCGACCCATTCGTGCTACAACTACAATATACCATAGATGTAGTATAGTAAGTTAAATCTATGCTATCTACTTACATTTTCTTTCTTTCTAAAAAGCGAAAAGTAAATTATATGACCTTAATTTAATGGTAGGTATACTCTTAAACCTCATAAACTTAAAATTATACCGGCATATAAACCTAGTCTTTGTTCTAACATTTTAACTTCTGCGGCTTTTTCTTATTAAAAAAGTAAACGTCAAAATTTGATGTGTAAAATACTCGTACATATTTTATTCAAAATATATTTAAAAATAAATCCTGTAAAATATCTTTCACAATAAAGTAAGCCTTGTTTCGTTTTTAATATTTTCTATCATAGATATTACTAATTATAGAAAATGAATTCAATAACCACCTACTCCACTATTTCACTATAAAAACTTCGCTGATAAAAATATTAATATTAGAAAGCACATTATAAAGAAAGTTTTTGACTTTGGTATAAAAGTTTACTGCGAAATCTATCAGTAATGCTTTGTGACATTAGATGGTGAAATAACTCTAACTCTAAAATAACAAATTGCCAGGTCTAAGATCTAGATTGGTTGCAGAAGTGCTTTTTAATTGCAAAGGGGAACTGCGATTGAAAGTTTTGCTACCAAGCGTGGCGATTCCATCACGCCAAATCTTCGAAACTAGAAGAGAACCAAATAGGTACTTAACACTTTCACTGTCCGGTTTTCAGACACAATAGTAAGACAATAGCAATGACCTATATCACAGAATAAATTATGCCTGTATGTAGTGCACGGGACAGGGAAAGGGTTAATCTGTAATTATATTATTGACTTGATCAGCTGTTTTTTGGCATAAGTAGGTGGGTGATATCCAGACGGGATTCTAGACGCAAAAGGTGCTCTATCTCCTATCTACTAACCTTGGAAAATTTGATTCCGTTGGAGTTCCGTCCCATAATAATTCCTTCTATTCTAAATCCTTTTCTATTGAAATTGTTCGGCGCTGGAACTTCTTACGGTTACACATTAGAAGTGCGCAATCTATTTAAATAGCCATATATTTCCTTGACATCGTTAATTTAAAAAATATTATTTATTTTTCCTTACGTCAAGGCTTTTATTTCACTTACTTGTTCACTCCTTTTTGCTCTTGCATATGTATTTCTATAATTTTGTAACTGAAATGTATTTATTTACTATATTATGCATGTATTTCTGTAATTTTGTAATGGAAATGTATTTATTTACTATATTATGTATGTATTTATCGAACGAATTTACATTATATTTCTGTCGTATTTACTAATAACTTAACTACACCCTTAACTTTTCTCACAGGTCATTATAATATCCTCTGCAATGTGGTTGCCTGGTAAAGATCGCTTTTAAGCAATAAAACCGCCAATTGTACCTACCTTTTAATAATTTGTTGTTTTTTACTCTTATATTTTTTGGTGTACAATAAAGTATATTTCATTCATTCATTCATACCGCATTCCAACTTTGTTTAGTTTGAGAAATGCGAGAAATACCAGAGTGTTTGAACCGTCGTTATCGGGCCGTGGATCATCTTATCCAAGATTTGAGTGCAGCAACAACAAATCGAAATCCATGTTCAATAGAGATTAACTCTTCGTGTAACGTTGATCGGGGCATTAAGTTAATGTGTGATTTCTGGAACATTCTCAAAGAAGACCCTGATTGTAATCTCACGGTGAATATACAAAATTAAACTATTTAGCATAAAAATAAGTATCTAGTACGAAAACACGGCTTTATCTTCATGATAAGAAATTTAAAAACAGTAAAACAGTGAAAAAGAATCCATCTCATTTTGTTGGGTCGATATCGCAGAGCTAACGGTCTGGCTGCGGGTTCAAATTCAGAATCAACTATTTATGTGGCCTAAGCGAGTAATCAGCAAGATAGGGAAATTCGGGATAGGGCAACGGAACCCTAAAGGCCAGCAGCTGGATGATTTCATGGAGAAAGAGGGACTCTTTATGATGAACTCTTTCTTTCAGAAGCAGTCCCACAGAAAGTGAACATGGTTGAACCCCGACGGTTCGACAAAAAATGAGATTGACTTCATTATGACGACTAGACGGCAACTGTTTAGTGATGTTTCAGTGATCGCGAGAGTGAAAACTGGCAGCGATCACCGAATGGTTAGAGGCACACTGAACCTAAACGTTAAGTTGGAAAAGTCACGTCTAATGAAGTAAAGGCTCCGTTCGCTTCGTGCTCTAATCCAAAGCCCCGAAAACTTTCAGCTAGAGTTACAAAATTGTTTTAGTCGTGCAGTCTTCTAGGCACTGAAAATTTTCACTGGACTATATGAATGACAAGCTTGTGCAAACTGAGCATACAGTCGGAGCTAAGTACTGCAAGGCTCCGATCACACTCTTAATCTCATGGCTGTTAGACGGGAAATAAAGCTCTAGTCTTCAGCAGATTTGACAGCATACAATGAACAGACAGATCTTCAAATACATGCGGCGGAACTTACTTTTTAACCATTTACCGAAAAGGTAAAAAGTGCAAAGGCACTATAAACAACATACATACCCTTTAGCAAATTGTACCGAAGACCGAGGAGTACAATCTGCCCCTATATCTTGCGTATGTGGACTATGAGAAAGCCTTTGATTCCGTCGAAATTTGGGCGGTGCTGCAGTCTCTTCAGCAGTGCCAAGTTGACTGTCGGTATATCGAAGTGCTGAAGTGTTTGTACAGTAGGACTACGATAGCTATCCGAGTACAAAACTAGAGTACGAAACTTATCCAACTGCAGAGAGGTGTAAGACAGGGTGACGTTATATCCCCAAAACTCTACACCGCTGCATCGGAAGACATTATCAAGCTACTGGACTGGAAAGGATACGATATTAATATCAATGGTGAGTACATCACTAACCTTCGATTTGCCGACGATATAGTCCTTATGGTAGAATCGCTGGAGGACCTAAGCTTTGTGCTCAATGTCCTTAATAGTGTCGCCCAACGGATATGATATTACCTTAAGATGAACAAATACAAAACAAAGATCATGTGTAACGTCCATGTCACACCTATGTCGGTAGTTATTGGGAGCACTAAGCTCGAAGAGTATGTTTACCTAGGACAAATAGTCCGACTAGGTAAGTCCAACGAGTGAGAGGTCAATCGACGGATTCAACTCGGCTGGATAGCGTTCTAGTGGTAGCGTGACGCATCTCGTCAGGCATACCTCAAAACTTCAAAACAAGATGCACAACCAGTGCGTGTTGCCAGTGATGACCTATGGATCTAAGACGTCGTTCTTCACTCTTGGCCGTATATGGAAAACTCAATGTCGCTCAGCGACTTAGCGAGAGGGCTATGCTCTGGGTTTCTCTGCGTGATAAACTTAGAAATAAGGATATCTGCGTTAGAAGCAGAGTAACCGACATAGCCCACGGATTAGTAAGCTGAAGTAACAATGGGCCGGCCATATAGCTCGAAGAACCAACAACCGATGGGGAAGAAAATTACTTGAGTGGCAGCCTCGGAAGTCGATGAATGCAGGTCGCTTAGGACCGTACTTTGTGGCAATCGTTCGGGGAGGCCTATGTTCAGCAGTGGACTTGTGAAGGGCTTTAATGAAGTGAGCAATCCTGTTTGATCTCCTTTGGCACCAATTATATTCTTTTCCTTTTTTCTTGGTGCGAAGGAAAATATCGTAAAGAAATCTGACCGTGTCTGAGGAATAAAATTTTTCGAGGACATGTGAAGTCCGACAAGTACTGGAGAAGTGGACAGATTATTCCATTACTCTCTTAGAAGTAAGAGGAAGCCCGTGTCCAGATGTGACACGTATTAAGGCTAAATTAATTCTTTGGTTTCTATTTGGTTATTTTAAGAACAATATGTATGGTTATTTATGTTATATTATGGTTATATTACCAATGAGGATGATTTTGATCCTTGAACATTTTTATCGCAAGGAAAAATTGAGGAAAGTTTTTTCTTGATCCAGTACTTTAGTTATATATTTTTTTGTCACAAGAAGCAAGCAGTTCAGCAAAAAATTGGATTAAGTAAAAATGAAAAACAATCAAGTAATGTTTGGACGCCTCAGCGCATGACTTGTTACATGGCCAGTGGATGCAGTCACAAATCAGAAGGAGATAGCGGCAGTAACATTAAGAAAAGGTTATTAACACTATCCGGAACTTACATTTTATTTTTAATTGTAATAACACCAATGTCAGGGTTTTTGACTACTAACATTAAATTTAAGCCGTGCTGCAGCTTATTATGCTTGTAGAACGAAAGGGTCAGCGCGGCCGCGGAAGGACAGGACTCTCACAGAAAACCAGCTTGCAGTAGTGGATTAATGCTGCTATGTATCTTATTGTGAGTTTAAAAAACCGAAGACTCTTTTTCTAGAATCTGGGCATTCCATGTTAGTCCTCAGGGAGACAACGCATTTTCATATTGATTATTAATCGAGAATAAGTAAATGTCCACGACACGATATAGGCCATGACATCCACGTATCATCACGTGGACTATGCGTTCGCTTGTCACCCTTATTCTATAAAAAAAGAAATAAGGAGGCGCGAAAAACGGGCAAACTAAGGCGAAAAATGCGCGGGATGCAAAACGTCATTTCGCACGTTCGCTTAGCTTCTAAAACTGATACAGAGCAATCAATTTGATAGTAAGTACTATATGTTAACTGCTACGGTATGCCAACCTTTGAACACCTGCAACGCACTTTAAACTTTCGGATCCGGATACTAGTATGTTATGATTGTTCTGGTGCCACTGATATAGTATCCAAGCCTACACCGAAAGAATGTCTTTGCGTATATACTTTGGGCACTCTTTGTTAGTTGACAACATCCAATAACGATCGAAATGGGACTAGGGCCGCCAATGACTTTAAATCTATGGTTTGAAGCTAGATTATTTTGCATATCTAATGTTCTCACTTAGGAAAATTTCTAAAATGCTTTTAAAGGATTATTTTTGCTGTGAACATTTTACGTGGTAGAGCCATGCTGCAGCTATATTAGTGGTATAGTTGTAGCACAAATGGGTTGGCTCGACCGGAGAAGGACCACGCTCTCACAGGCTACTAGCATAAAATAGCAGCTGAAAGCTGCTGTGTTTCGTATCGAGAGTATATAGAACCGGAGACCCTTTTCACTGAAAACGAGGCATTCCATCTAAGGCCTCACAAGTGACAACGCATCTGCATTTTGATTCGTAACCGAGGATAGATGTAGATGTGTATGGGCCACAGCAACCACTTACCATCAGGTGGACTGTGTGCTCGTTTGTCACCCTATCCTATAAAAAACATATCAACGGCTTTTATTTGTTACTGCAGTCATGTTGAAATAAATAATAAAATAAGAAATAAAATTTTAACATCAGTGATCGATTCTCAGTGTGCGAGTGAGAGTGAGAGAGAGGTAACAACCCCAAGTTATTCTATGGGTGTTGTAAGAGGCCACCGAGGGAAACTGAAACAGGAGACGGACTGTAACATCTTCCTCATTAGAACTTAATAATAACAAAAACTACGGTTGCCAATCTACTTGGCAACTATGGCAAGAGGCCATCTATGTGACGTCCAAATTGTAATAAAACTGGAGAAGGTCCCTCTAATCCGTTACTGTTGCTAAAATGGTGTCCATGTGAATGTAAATATGTGTGTATGTGAGTGCATTGGTACTTTAGTAAACTGTGTTTGTCTTGCTTATTTAAGGAACAAATTATACTCGTAATATGAATAGCAAACCAATTTTTTTCGACCCTGGCGATGTATTAATAAATATCGATTCTCTAACCGTTTCCTTAAAAATTAACCAGAGATATTGCTAGAGAGAGCGAGGTGAATTACGCCACATTTTTGACATAATACTAATATAATAATACTATATAATATATAATATAATATGATAATACTAATGTCTCCACTTTCACTTTAAATAGATCCTGTCATCACCATAGAACGGGTCCAGATATAAATCCTCCGAGCAGCTCATCTCATTCAGTGTGTCCTAGTGTTTGTAATGGAAACCTTCCTCTTAGCAAAGTTCTGCATAACTTGAAAGAGGTAGATACTTTAATATTAAAGTGATGGCGAATTAATTAAAAAAATAATAATTTCTGAATATGGTCCGTAAAACTTGTCAAACAAATAATAAAATTATTTCAACAGGCAGCATCTTTTGAAAAGACATGCGCTGTGAAATTAAACGAGCTTTTGAACACCGAGGAGCAGTTGAAAAAGGCGCTCCAGAACTTGGAACAACGAGAAAAGGAAGGTATGAAGTTGTTGAAACAGGCAGATTGCATGTGGATGTGCATGGAAAAAGCGTACAAGAAAAAAGTATCCGAATCATTAGAGCGCCAGAAGCTTTTGCTGCAACAGGTCATAAATATAATTAACGTATTTTTATTGAGGCATCTTCATTAATTTGTTTTAAAATTTTGTTTTAAAGTTTTAGAGCTAATTTTAAAATCTTAATATTAATTTTAGTTAAGAGAAGTAGAAATAAGTACATCAAAATGGCGAAAGAATATGAAGGATCTAGAATCGCAACTTAATAATGTCAACAAATGCCAAGAAGAAACGAAGGAGAAGATCTCCCAAAAATCTAACGATATTAAATGTATCGAAATGGAAATGGCAGATTTACAAAAAAGACTGGATAATAACAAAAAGGAAGTTGAAGCAACTAAAAAAACAATTCTTATGAATAAAGAAGTGTCAAACGTTAGTTTTAATCTATGTTTATATTGTTATTAATAATTATATTTAATAACATTAAGTTGATTATTAATTAGTCCATACAACATCAGTAAAATATACATCAGCAGAAAAGATAATTTAGCTTTAAATTTTATTTTACGCGAGTGTTCTCATTTACAATCTTGTGATCTTCAAGAGAAAAAATTATATTTATATTTGATATTACGTTTACATTATCGTTATAATGTAAACGTAATATCAAATTACTACTTTGTCGGTGGATTAGCGATCCCAGTGTGAAAACTTTCCTACTTTGCTTCACTTCGTCATTCTGCGTCATTCTGATAGATTGCAACTGGATGACATCTAGATTTTTTCTGGCGTTTCTTGCGACACCCACTTCTCTACTTTTATTGAAGTATATTCATAATAATTACAGTCCCTTACAAGCCCACTACTGATCATTAAGCTTTCCCCTAGATTTTCAAAAAGCACGGTTCTGAGCTATCAGCATCTATATACTTTTCGCATGTTTCTTTAAGTCCTTATTCCATATAGTGGGGGTCGCCCAATACTCTGCTAGTTCACACGCACAGTTAGACAGATAGCCAGCCAATCGAGAAACTTTGTTGACTATCAGTAGCGAGCACTATTTTATTTGTCAATAGTATATTTCGCAATAAAAATCATCAATAATTTAAATCCAATAGAAAAAAGTGGCAAAGTTAGCTGAAGAAGCAAAAAGACTAGAAAAAGTTGTTGCAGAAGAAAAGAAGATGAAAAGAGATAAAGAACTTGAAGGAACTAACCTTATCAAAGAGGCAAGACAAGATCTTCAAGATATTTCCGAGGTGTTATTAAAGAAGAAATTAGAAAACGACGATTTGAGAGCGGAGGTAGTTATTGAAATCTTAAAAAATTAGAATAGTCGTAAAACGATGTATTTATACATTTTTGTTGTTGTAAAAAGAATATGAGACCATCTAAGAGTATTTTCGTGTATATATAACACACGTAACATAATTAACGCACATCCTGAAAGTAGTTTGTTCAGAATCGTTTACTGAATAGATTTCTATCATTTTTAATATAGGTAATTTTTTATCCCAAAATAATTGAAACTACGTAATTTACAGACATACTAAACCTGTACAGTCAAAACAAACTAAAATGTACCGTAACTCAAGGCAATAAGACTTTTAAAAGAGGAGTTTTATTTGTATTAATACAATTTCCGTCATTAAATACAAAATAAAGAAAATTGAGCCTTATTTCAAGCATGTTAAAGTCTTTACAAATACAGAGCTTGGAGTGCCTTATGAAAGTCGCGTATAAAGGCCATTGTCCTCCCAGATCAGCTGATTTGACGCCTCTTGACTTTTTTTTATGGGGACGTATTACATTATTAGTTTATTTTAGTGAGACAACAAGTGCCGAGGACCTAAAAATAGGATAGTGAACGCTTTTAGAATAGTGAAAAATGACACTAATTGTTTTCTAAATTATTTTATTTCTTTTTTAAAACGTAACCTCCACACTAGGATTTTCTCTTGTATTGTGGGGGCAGTTTACAAACATAAATTGCACAAGGACAAACATCTAGACTCGGAACAATTATTTGTAGGCCATACAAATACTTGTTCCGTGCGGTATTCGAACCCGCGGCCCTTAACCTGCAACTCAATTGCTAAGCCACTGCGCCACGGCGCCGTGGTGGACATTTTGAAAGTGTATTAAAATACAACGTTGCATGAGAGTTAAGGCTATCAGTAAGTTAAATATTTGATTCTTAAAATTATTGTAATCCTGATTCACATCTTTTAAACATGCCGTCTTTGAATTATCTTGTCGTATTAATTCTTATTTTTAGCAGTTCATTATTATTTACAATTACAATTAAAATGTTACGCAAATTCATAACATTTTGTAACGAATATTGCCTATTGACATTGTATCATAATCAATAAACAAAATTATTCACAGTCGAAAGTCCAAAGCCTGAAAAGTGCGATGGAAAGATGCAATCAAATGTTTACTGGACTTAAATAAACAACTCAATGCTCGGAGTTCTGACATCTGTTAATGTTTATAGGTAGGTATTTCTTTAACGTAACCAATTATGTATTGTCGGATTTTTTCGACACTAATACCTACCTACAGTTGTGTTAAGCGGCGGCGGCGTTAACTCGTCTCGAACGCGAGCGAATACCTACTAGGCTAGCAAGACCTATACCTAGCGTTCGTGGTTTTGTACGGCCATCACAACATTCTTCCGGAATTAGTATAACTAATTTAATAATTAATCAGTGCATAAAAATGTTTAACTAAGAATTCAGTGTATGTATTATGATTATAACATAATATACTAATTGAGGTGTCTGAGGATGTGCGTTAATTACGTTAGTACCAGATCTGAAATTACGTGTGTATAAACGTGAAAGAAGGGAAAAACCACTTTGCAATATCATATAGCAGCAATGGGGCACACCTTTGAGTTACAAAGAAACAATATCTTTGATAAAAAACTTTATTCCCTTTGTGTTTAAGTGTTAAATATGTGACATCAAAAATAATCTAACCTAACCTAACTTCTTATTACTCTGCCCAATATGTAATGGACTTTATACATAAATCACGATCAATTTATTTCAATAGTTTTATTACATCGCTTGCTCATATTGGGCATTATTCATATTGCCCGAGCATTATGAACTACTAATCACTTGGTTCATAACTTATATACCATAAAGCTTCATAAAGGCTAAAATATTGCATTCCATACTTTCTTTATCATTTACATTTCCATTTATATTATATATAATATTATTAATTTCTTAATCTAGATCACCTTCTCTTATATTAATTATTGATCATTCGAAAGATGACGAGAATGAGAGAAGATTAAATAAAATACATATAATTTACTTTTAGTTGATTTTAATTTTAGTGGTATAGATCTAGGAAACCTGCTCCGGGTGCATGTACCTTAGTCTTAAATATATTTTTTATAAACTTAATAGCATATAATTTAGAAATGACTGCATGCCTTCGTAATGATGAAACATGAAACTTAAGGTAGAAATACAGAGAATAATTTCTGGAAAATCTCTTCGTGATAAAATTCGTAATGAAAATATCCACAGTAGAACCAAAGTAATCTTTATATAGCCCAACGGATCAGTAAGCTGCAGTGGCAATAGGTTGGCAATATAGCACGATGGAGCAACAACCAGTGGGTTATCAATTCTGGAGTTACAGCCTCAAACCAGTAAGCAAGTTGTAGGTCACCACCCCAATAGATTGTTGGCAACCGCAGTTGTTATTAGCAAGACGCTGTTGCCCACCAATAGCTGGTTGGACAATACTGGGTATTTGAGATATTCTTATACTGGTGGCAGTACCATCATTGATGATGTCATTATCCTAACCACTACATGGTTAGGATAATGATATCAAAGTCTATTAATGTTATGAATGTTATTTTATCTAATCTTATCAGCCCATAACATCCCACTGCTCGGCAAAGGCCTCCCCAAACTCTTTCCACCTTTCGCGGTTCTGTGTTATGGAGGACTAGTCTTTCATGAAGGAGTCCAATTCATCCGGCCATCCTTTTCTTGGTCTGCCTCGCGTTCGTCTATCATTTATAGGAGTGCACCGAGGTGTAATTTTGGCCCAAAGTTCTTCTGACATACGGACCGGACATGACCGGCCCAGTTCCATTTTAGATGTCAGTGATTTGGGTCTGGAGCGCAGAGTGGTATTTTGTGTGTTAGTTAGTTGTTATGAATACTCACACTATTACAGAAAGCAGCTTTGCTAGCAGAGATTGAGTTGCTGGAGCAAGCTCGTGATCGATGCAAGGATAAATGTATGCTAAAACAGAGCACATTAGAAAATGAAATAAAGAGAATCGACGCGGAAATTGCTGCGTGTAAAATAAAATGTATAACATGTAATCAGTGTACTGATACTTCCGAAATACAAAAATTTTGTACTGATTGCCCTCGATGTTTAGAAGGAAGGCGTTGCATAGTTGAAAATGATCATTGTAATATAGATCATACAATGGATTGTGTTTGTATGACCGTGAAAAGAAAGTTCTTAGATAATGTCTTCGAAAATATGTATAATGTATTAGTCAGACAAGTAAAAGAAGGTGCCGGTAAGGCGGTTGCTGACCAAGTTTTTAATTGCTTAAAAAGAAGCAGAAACGGCAAACTTGATGCGAAAACTAGGAAAGTTCTTCAACAATTTATATTAACTAGTGTTAAAAGGCATCTGAACTTGACAATTGTTGGCGGTGCTGTTAAAACCAGATGTGAGGTGAGTGGTGGACTCACTCCTGTTAATTTTCTATTTTTTTTATAGGATAGGGTGACAAACGAGCACACAGTCCACCTGATGGTAAGTGGTTGCTGTGGCCCATAAACATCTACATCTATCCTCGTTTGCGAATCGAAATGCAGATGCGTTGTCACCCGTGAGGACTAAGATGGAACGCCTCTTTTCCAGTAAAAAGGGTCTCCGGTTCTCTACACTCACCATACGAAACACAGCAGTGTTAAGCTGCTATTTTACGCTGGTATTCTGTGAGAGCGTGGTCCTTCCCCGATCGAGCTGACCCATTCGTGCTACAACTATACTATTAATATAGCTGCAGCATGGCTCTACCACGTATAAATCTGTTGTTGTAGTATATGTTTGAAGAAATTAAAACAATGGTATGTATATAAAATAGATAAGTAGGTAACTGTAAAATTACGTGTGCAATTGCGTTGACTGTAATAATGATGTACTGTAATAAGTGTACATAGTTGACGTGTCTGTCTTCATGTTGAAATACTCGTAACTGCCTTATATTGAGTTGAGCGAGTTATTTGAATGCCAAGACGTGAATAACCATTTTAAAATTTTTGTCTGTCTATCTGTCTGTCTGTCCGGGCTAATCTTCGGAATAGCTGAACCGATTGCATTGAACATTTGGGGTCTTAGTCTTACGAAGAACTCTTACTAGTAAGACTGGGAATTTTCATCCCAGTGGCCTTACCAAATAGTCTTATAATTTAGATTACTGGGATCTCTTTCCAAGCAAACTAGTAAGAACACTGGAGAAAAAAATCCCAGTAGTCCTTCTATATAAAATAGGTGGAATTATTCATAACTATCTACCTACTTCACTTTATTTTTGTAAGAATGATACATTTCGTGTAAAGGTTTTTTGGTCCTGATATGACGGATTTTTGCTTTTTTTTTATTAGTAAATAACGTAACATATGCGAGCATAAATTCCACCAATTTTCTAGAGTAGGACTACTGAGAATTTTCTTTCACAGAGGTCTTACCAGTTAGGTCTACTTGGTAAGAATTTCTTTTTTATAGAATAGTGTGACAAACGAGCACACAGTCCATCTGATGGTAAGTGGTTGCTGTGGTCCATATACATCTACATTTATCCTCGTTGGCGAATCAAAATGCAGGTGCGTTTTTACCCGTGAGGACTAAGATGGAATGCCCCTTTTCCAGTAAAATTGGTCTCCGGTTCTCTACACTCACCATACGAAACACGGCAGTGTAAAGCTGCTATTTTACGCTGTTATTCTGTGAGAGCGTGGTCCTTCCCCGGTAGAGCCGACCCATTCGTGCTACAACTATACTACTAATATAGCTGCAGCATGGCTCTACCACGTATAAAATAAAAATCCCAGTAATCTTTTCGTAAGACTGTCGGGAAGAACATTCCCTGTAGTAGTACTGGTATAAAGAACTAAGTAAATAATAAAATAAAATAAAGAATAATACAAGGAGTGATCTAGGCTATATTTTATCCCATTAACTTGGAGATATTTTTAGAAAAATAAAACGAAAAATTAACGAAATAAATGTTTTTTGATTATGTTAAATCTAAATAATGCCACATTAATAGACCCTGTCCAGGCAATGCATAAACACAACAAGTACAGTATAGAATATGTAAGATTATTTGAAAGTAGATAGCTAAATTGTTGAAGATTTTAAATGAAATATACTAAATTTAGATGGAGCCGGACATCTACAAGCAACTGATGATTTGTCTGCAACAAGTGCAAGTTACAGAGCCAGTGAAAGTAGATAAGGGAACCGTTTCCAAAAAGGTTCTTATACACTTACTACTATCATTGTTTAATAATAATATTTTAGTAATTATGTGAGTGTTATTAATTATATCATCGATCATAGCCTTTAATTTGTTATTTTGTACAATAGTTCTTATACTTTGCAACTGTAGGCGCCGTGTTCCCGTTGGGGAGGTACCAACGAGTGTAACTGCCCCAAGGGTCCAAAGAGTTGTATATGTATGAAAAAAGCGCCTCCGCCCATACACGATCCAACGCCGTGCCCACAGGAAGATGAGGACAAGGAAGACGAGGTAGAAATTATGACATCATTCATTTATTATAACCTATTTCTATTTTTATTTCTATTTTTTATTTCTAGTTTTTTAAAAAACGTTACCCCAGACTAGGATTTTCTCCTGTATCGTGGAGGCAGTTTACGAACATAAATTGCTCAAGGACAAACATCCAGACCGGGAACAATTATTTGTAGGCCATACAAATACCTACTTGTTCCGTGCGGAATTCGAACCCGCGGCCCCCAGCGCAGCAACTTATTGCGAAGCAACTGCGCCACGGAGCCGTCGAATAATTTGTGGACAGTGGACATTTATTATAACCTATTAAATGTCCACTGTTGAATATAGGCCTCTCCTATTGACTGCTTTATAGGACTAATATTTACCATCGTTACCACGATTCGCAGGTGGGTATTGGAAACCAAAGTATTTCATTGTTTTGAGTTGTTACCAAGTAGATGTCGATGCCCATCACCTGTTTTATTTCTCTCTGTCGCCTCTTAAGACATCCACGAGATGGTATCGGGTAGTAGTTTCTCTTACAACGCTATTACTCGGCGGTTATGAAATGAATATTCTAATTCTAAGCAATTGTAATCTATACATCAATACAAATAAATAAAATTGAAGTGTCTGTTTGTAATATCAAAATAACAGATTTTTACTAAATACATATGAAAGTGTATACGGTACTTAAAACAAAAACACAATTTTTAAAATTTTGTCTGTCTGTCCGTCTGTTTGTCTGTGTGTGTGTCTGTTTGTTCCGGCTGATCTCCGAAGTGGCTGGACCGATTTTGACGGGACTTTCACTGTCAGATAGCTGATGTTTAGACATCGGATTTTATGTCTTTGCATATGCAAATGCATATTACTCTCAAATTAAGGCGTTAATGCATATTTTAGCCTTTTTCGTGCATATTTCGTTTAAAATAAGGAGGTACGTATAGGAACCTAGGCGTCGAAGACGTGTAGAGCGCGAGCGCAGTGGCTGACGGCTGACTGAAATGACTGGCCAAACTTTAAATTTTGTCCAATGACGTCACTTGTTGCAGAGAGGTCGTTTTCGGCGTAGAAATTGACCCGCTCGAAAATTTGGCAAAATACTTAATTGTATATTGTCATAAAAACTGCATAAATTTAAGAACATTTTGCTGTTTTTGTACCGTATTTAATTAAAATATAAAAATAAAAATGGTATTTTGATTTTGCATTGTGCATATTTTGGGCATATCAACAGTTTAAAGTGCATATTTCGGCCTTTTTAGTACACATTTGCATGCATATTCTGGCAATTTGTTAGTGCATATAATCCGATGTCTACTGTTGTTATAAGGAGTAACTTAGGCTACTTTTATTTTAGAGAAAGAATTAGGGTTCCGCGCAAAAAATTAAAACCATAAATTGAACGCGGGCGAAGTCGCGGTGAATAGCTAGTTATATATAATTGTTGTAATTGTAAGTAACATAAGAGTCCTACCATCCAAAAAAAGAGAAAAATTAAGAGAAAACCTTTACTGTCACTGCTGTGGGTTTGTGAAACTCTTTGCCTCTCCACATTCTTATACTATTACTGCATACTGTATTACTTAGAACGCTATTAGATAAATTACTTTTCCTTTTTTTGTACCCTTTTCATTTAATCTTTTATATCATATTATTTATAATTTTCGCTTAGCTTTATTCTCAAATTCTATTCTATTTCATCTCATAGCTCTATTTAAACTATTGTTTGCATCAGTTCTCTACGCAAACATTGTCTGGAAGAGATCACTTTCAGAGTGATAAGACCGCCTGTTGTACATATTATACTTTAGATTGAACTGTACTCGTTATTTTGTACTTTGGTGTACAATAAATAATAAATAAATAAATAAAAGAAGACTGCAAACATATCTAAAACATAATTAATAGAATCAGGCGTTACTTTGCGGAAATCCATTATATAAAAGCTTTTAGAAAAATTTACTTCGCAAATATCCGCGTTATAAAATAAGCTAAGTGAGTCTTAGCGGTTAGCCACCGTAGAGTATATTACCTGAGGATGCCTCGTGTAGAGGCGAAACACGTGTCATATTATCGTCAATGTTGTGTCTTGCCTAGTGTAGTGGTGTTGGGAGTAGCGGTGCTGGGATAAGTAGTGACGGGGATAGTGCACGCAATTGAGGGAGGGGCGGGAGGTGCTCTTCATACTAGGTAAGACACATCATTTTATTTTATAATGCGGATATTTGCGAAGTAAATTTTTCTAAAAGCTTTTATATATCTAAAACAGCAAAATTCTAAACATATCGTGTTTGAAAAATAGAAGGTTCAGATTTAATGACACAGACTCAATATACAGAACTTCTTATGATTCTTCTTAATTTCACTGCTAAACATTGGCGGACTCTGATGTAAGGAAGATTTACCAGAATTGCCAAGCTTGCCAAATTAATTAGCAATTACAAAACCACACGTCTCGAAACTTCGACGCTGCTTCCCGTAACGGCCAAAGTTTCACAGATTCTCAAATGTAAAATGTACAATATTTAACACTCAAATGTAACATAAACAGCAAACATAAATAACAAACATTTTACATTTGAGAAACTGTGAGATCTATCGGGCATTTCTCATAGTTGTCGATTAATAATGACGCGTTTATCTATAACAATACATATTGTTACGAGCTTGGGATTCGAGACAATTAAAAACTGCCGATTGAATTACCAAAATTGACACTTTAATTATACAACACTAATAATAAAACACAATTGTACTACTGATCACTTTAGTTCGCAGTTATATCACTTCGAAGTATTCGCTTATATCGCCAATTCAATACTGCCTCGGTCGTGGTCTACACCGGCTTTATATAGGGCGTCAGATAGTTAACCGAACCTTCTACTGTAGAAACATCTAGTATGTTCGAGTACATATCCTCCTAGTTCTGCCACTCGACACTAGAGGGCGCTAGTGGTAATTAGTGTTGCCAAGTACAAGACATTAATAGTGGCGCGCAACAATATTATTTATTATTTACAAAATGTTTAATTAATTTCCTCATTTTTTCTTAGATAATGTAAATGAAGGTAAATCAGTTAATAAATTCTTGTATGATTTTACCAAAGCAAAACACATTACTATATCAAACCAGCATTTGAAAAACACATTATTACATCAATTACCATTAAATCAAATAGTGGTTAAAAAAACTTAATCAGATAAACCAATTATGTTACTTAATACCATTACTGGTATTATTTGTTAACATCCTTTTTAATTTAACAGAGAAACTAATAGACAGTTTGTTTTTAGGATGATGTAAAATTCTGTCCTCATAAAGATAACTTGATTTGTGGACGGGATTGCGGAATGCACAGCATGAAAACATCACCTATTGATGATGAATTATCCAAGTGGATAGCTGACCCGTGTCAAGATACGTCGTGCAAGTTTTCGAAGAATATGAGAACTGCGCGATGTGTATTTGATCCAGAATGTTCAGCTTCAGTTCCAACTAAGGATTATGGATTTTTGTCTACAGGTGTAGTGAACGAGGTATTATAAACGAATTTCAGTCTTTTTTTTTATATAATAAATTTGACAGACTAGCACGCAGCCCACGTGATGGTAAGTGGATACTGTGGCCCACAGACATTTACATCTTTTTTTTATAGAATAAGGGTGACAAATGAGCACACAGTCCACATGGTGGTAAGTGGTTGCTATGGCCCATAGACATATAAATCTACCTTCGTCTGCGAATTACAATGCAGATGCGTTGTCAGCCAAGAGGACTAAGATAGAATGCCTCTTTTCCAGTAAAATGGGTCTCCGGTTCTCTACACTCACCATACGAAACACAGTAGCATTAAGCTGCTATTTTACGCTGGTATTCTGTGAGAGCGTGGTGCGTCCCCGGTCGTGCCGACCCATTCGTGCTACAACTATACTATTAATATAGCTGCAGCAGCATGGCTCTACCACGTAATTTTAATAAACACAATTATCTATCCTCGGTAAAGAAGCATTCGGCGACTATTCAGACTCCGATCCACACAGTTTATTTATCATATTTATTTATGGGTCAATGTGCAAATGTAAAAAAAAAAAACAGAAAATGTTCACTGTTTGTCAATCAAAGAGCTTTTATTAAACAAGAACTGTATAAAAAGAGAAATTACAATATTAATGAATACATGAATGAAAATAACCCCTGGGAATGAGGTGAACGCTACCATGCTGGTTCTATTATTATAATTCACATGAATAAATGTACAAAATATTTGGAAGTTTGATGTCTAAAAAAATTATCCCGATGGGTTTTTTGCTTAGTTTTCCAGGGTCTTTCTGAAACAGAAGCAACTTCTAAAAATTATTTTCGTGAAGTATTTCTTTTTACAGGCTAGGGTGACAAACGAGCACACAGTCCACCTGATGGTAAGTGGTTGCTGTGGCCCATAAACTTCTACATTTAATATCGTTTGCAAATCAAAATGCAGATGCGTTGTCACCCGTGAAGACTAAGATGAAATGCCTCTTTTCCAGTAAAAGGGGTCTCCGGTTCTCTACACTCACCAAACGAAACACAGCAGTGTTAAGCTGCGATTTTACGCTGGTATTCTGTAAGAGCGTGGTCCCACCCCGGTCGAGCCGACCCATTCGTGCTACAACTATACTACTAATATAGCTGCAGCATGGCTCTCACGTAAAATTCGTTATTGATATGGGGCGGGTAGAAGGAAAAGGGGAGATCTCCCGCCGGGCACGGTGTTCTGCCCGGAAAGCGGCCAACGTTCCAAGTGGTAGTTCGGAGCTATTCGATATGTTTCGCTTGTGGCGCGACGACAGCGCCGCCACAGATAAAATTAAAGTGACTGGTGACGTAAAAGCTTACAGTCCACTTTATGTTAAGCGATTCTATACTTAGAAGAATACGGATGCGTTAACACTCCTGAGCATTGAGATAGAATGTCTTACAGTCTCTAATTGTATTGTCTCTCTATAGCCTTCAGGCAGGAAAACAGAACACTGCCACTAAACTATTTCTGCGGTAAGAAGGTATAACAACAACAGTAAAAGAGACCTTTTTACGTGGTAGAGCCATGCTGCAGCTATATTAATAGTATAGTTGTAGCACGAATGGGTCGGCTCGACCGGGGAAGAACCACGCTCTCACAGAGTACCAGCGTAAAATAGCAACTTAATGCTGCTGTGTTTCGTATGGTGAGTGTAAAGAACCGGAGACCCTTTTTAGTGGAAAAGAGGCATTCTATCTTAGTCCTCACGGCTGACAACGCATCTGCATTTTAATTCGCAAACGGAGATAGGTGTAGATGTCTATGGGCCACAGTAACCACTTACCATCAGGTGGAATGTGTGCTCGTTTGTCACCCTTATTCTATAAAAAAACCTACAGTCTAGCAATAATCTACAAATATTGAATAAAAAATATTCTATTCTATTTGTCCATGCTCTCTGTTAAGTCCTTTTATTGCCAGTCTGTAGAATTTAGGTCCAAAAATTTTTTTCCAATGGAAATACCTCTACATGATGATACGCCTAAGCCTCTTTCATCTTTTTTAACCCTTAATTACTCGCGTGGGGTATATTTAACCCCACGGCGTATTTGAAGCGTCGTATCTCCGCCATTTTTAAAGTTACCTCCATGCCGTTCTTAGTAGCTGCCTAAATACCTCCCCCCGCCGCGAATCAGTCACGAGCGCCGCTCCGTGTCGTGTGGTTGTGTCAGGAGATCGTGTCTGGGGTATATATTGCCCCACGCGAGTATTCGTGCAACTTTTTTTGGACAAGTGAGTATTTTTATTTTTATTTTTTAATGTGCAGTACAGATACTAAATGGTTAGGTTTTTTTACTTATCTTTGTTTTCTGTTCTTTTTTAGGTTATAACACCTAAAATGGCAAGTAAGCGTCTTTCTAACTACCAGATTCTTGAGTGTATATTAGAAGACGACGAAGAAAGCATCATAGATAGTCCCGATGAAGATGAGGGAGACGATGAAGTGATCCAGAGTGACCACAACTCAGAATCTGAAGAAAGTGCCAATGAAACCGAGTTAGAATGGAGTGATGACGATAATGAACCGCTGAGTAGACACGCAAGTAAAGATTCTGATAGCTTTTATTTATCAAAAAAGAAATGCACAAAGTGGGCAAAAGAGCCGCCGCGTACTAGCGTTCGAGTTCGTAGACACAATATTATGAGGGAAACACCAGGACCTAAGGGAGCAGCCAAGGAGATACATACAATGTCAGAAGCATTCTTTTGTATGTTTTCAATGGATACTGTCAATTTAGTACTGCAACAGACCAACGATTACATAAAATCGATACAAGTAAAATTTCAACGCGAACGTGATTGCAAATTCCTAGAATACGAAGAACTTTTGGCTTACCTAGGTTTGCTTTACATGTCTGGTGTGCTGCGTTCATCTCACTTGAACTTCAAAGATCTGTGGGCTACCGATGGAACAGGCATCGAGTTTTTTCAAAACACAATGTCATTCAACAGATTTCTTTTTATATCAAGATGTGTTCGTTTTGATGACAAAAATACTAGATCTGAAAGGCAAAAGACAGACAAACTAGCAGCAGTCAGAGAGTTCACTGATTTGATGAATAATAATTTCATCAATAATTACTCTGCATCTGAAAATGTCACCCTAGATGAACAATTACCTGCCTTTCGAGGAAGATTTTCTGGTGTTGTTTATATGCCCAACAAACCCACGAAGTACGGCATAAAGCATTATGCACTCGTAGACTCGGCAACATTTTATTTACTGAAATTTGAAATTTATGCTGGAGTACAACCTGAGGGTCCATATCGAATGCCTAATGATACAGTAAGTTTGGTAAAGCGTATGACAGAACCCATCTGGGGTACTGGTCGAAACGTTACGATGGACAACTGGTTCACTAGCGTCCCTCTTACAAATACGCTTCTAAAAGATCACCAGCTTACTATGGTTGGAACTATTCGCAAGAATAAGCCGGAAATTCCAACTTGCTTCCAGCCCAAACGAACACGAGCTGAGCATTCCAGTCTGTTTGGTTTCCAAGAAGACGTAACACTTTGCTCTTACGTTCCAAAAAAATCTAAAGCTGTACTGCTGATTTCGTCAATGCATCATAACAATAAAATAGTTGAAAGTGAAAAGAAGAAACCGGAAATTATTTTGTACTACAATCGCACGAAAGGTGGCGTAGATACCAACGACCAAATGTGTGCTAACTATAACGTCGGCAGACGTACAAAGAGATGGCCTATGGTTATATTTTATCACCTTCTCAACGTTGCTGGTATCAATGCATATGTCATTTATAAAAATAAAATTGACCACGGAATATCAAGAAGGGAGTTTTTGAAGCATCTTGCAGTTGATTTGGTAAAGGCTCGCCAACAAACTCGAGCAACTATACCACAACTGCCTAGGGCCGTACAAAAACGGCTAAAAAGAAATGCTCAAGTTCAGGATCCTAGCCCCACTTCCAGAGGTGGTCCATCGACAACTTATAAAAGGTGCCATATCTGTCCAAGGTCGAAGGATAAAAAAATAAGATTTATGTGTGCCAAATGCCACCAGCAAGTTTGTCACGACCATTCCACTATGATATGTGATAAATGTATTGATTAAAAAGTTCCTAAATTTAAAGTTTCATATCTTTAAAAGTTTTTAAGGATACTATTACAATTTAGAACAATGTTGCCTCTTTCAAATTTTTATAATAAAAAAAAAAGTATGTCATTAAAAATATGTCATTAAAAATATGTTTTATTGTACCTTTACAATTGGGGTTATATATTCCCCACGCGAGCGTAAGTGTAACTATATGGACGCGAGTAATTAAGGGTTAATATTATATTTTTTAATTTATTCATTAATTACAGCTTATTAAAAGTCCAGTGCGAACATAGACTTCCCCCATTGATTGTCTCATAATAACCATCTTTATAATGGGGAATATTTGATATAGTTGCCAAGCTTGGCGGGTGTGTTGGCAACCGCAGTTCTTTAATATTTTGAGTTGGTTTTTTACTAAGCTACAACTAACAATTGATTTTCTCTTAATTTTTAGAACCTCTGCGATTGCGTAAACGTACCTAAGGATCATTGGAGAAACGACAACGGTAAATGTGAAATTTCAATAAATACGGTACGTGGGGGTAATATGGTCACCTGAAGCTTTGACGCCCTATAAAACCAAAGCTAGGGGGAGGACAGAGACAAAAAAAAGTCGTATACTATAACTAATATATTAAAAAATAATAGCAAGCAAGCTTAGGCAAAAATAAGGAACACTTTTGGGCACTTCACTTTAAATTTTTTAAATTTATTTAAAAAATTGTCTACACTACACAATAATAAAATCAATTAAAATATTTACTATAATGTCAGCTGTTAAAATGGCGTCGATAAAACAGCGCCCTTTTGACTCTTTATTATTTGATTAACTGATCAAGAGCTATCGTATCACAGAGCCATCCATGCAAACAAGGCTGTAGTTTTTGAGTTATAAGAAAGTGACTATATTAACCGCATGACCATATTACCCTCACGTACTATACTTTATTTTATGTGGGAGTACAAAATGTTTCTTTTTTGTAAATAAGTGATTTAAAATTGCTTTAGGTGCTAGGAGTCGTCCTCGCGAGCTTCTTATAGAAGAAGTTATGGGAAATAACGACGCTGTAACACTTGAGAGAATAAGCTCTATTATAAGCTCTGATTCATCCACAACAATGGCATGACCAAGCATGACCGCACACGAATTTTTGTAATAAATAAAAAATTAAATCTTTCAAATATAATTTATTTTCTATATTAAATTGCTTGCTATGAACTATAAAGAGACTTTTATTTTTTTTAATTATGCTTACTTAGCCTTAAATTATAAGAACATTAAAAATATCACGTTTAACTAGGGAGTCACAAAATAAATAATATTTTATTTTTAAATATTAATAAATGTAATAAAATTATAAATCATATTGAATTAATTATTTTATCATTAATACTTCGTAGCTACGTAGAACTTATTCAATGATTTTAATTATATTAATATGTAAATTAAATATAAATTTTATGACGCTATCGAGAAATTTCTTAATCCTTCACTTTTGTTTTGTACTCCCAGTTTTAATTTATTATATTGCATTATTTATATACAAAAATAATAAAAATCATTTATTTAGTCATACAATTTTACAGATACAAAACAATTGAAGGCAGATATTAAAAATAATTGGCCAACAAAAAAATTCTTTAGAAAAGGTCATAGTGATAAAATATCGGGTCAGATTAAATTAGATAATAAGTTTACGAAATTAACAAAAACACCATCTGGTGCAATAGTTATGGCATTCAATAATGATTTTGTTAAAATTATAGACGAAAGGACAAAAGCAAACGCATCTTTACACACAATTTTAAACGTTACGGATTCGGGGCATGTTTTGTTAGAATTGAGTTCAGTAGACGAGTACTCAATGAATACTGATAGAATAATGAAATTGGAAAATATATTATATGGATGCTTATTATTCAGAGGAAACAATAATTTATTAAAATATATTAACCAAACCGTCGATGATGTTTGTTTAAATAGTTTAAAAATGGACAAACGTGAAAATATACAACCTAATGCCGTATTGAGGAAGACATCTTCAGGTGTTGTTTTAATCATTGCTACGGAACCTCTAAATAAAATTCAAAACTATCTACTTGCTTCAGCACCTAATACATATCATAAGATTAAAGTTGAAGACAGTGAATGCAGTGTTACAGAATTTCCAGGAGTCTTAAAATCTACGCCGTCAAATAATTATATTCTTACCGTCGATAAAGAATTTGAAAGCAGTTTTCGGAAAACCATTAAAAATAATTTATGTGGTGGTAGCACAGTTCTTATACCTTTACGAAATAGTAGCTCTGGAAGTCATGTGATAAAATTAGGATGTTTTGTTGATAGGCCACAAACAAAAGTTGCTGTTTTAAAGAAAACTCGATCTGATAATATGAAAGTTATTTTAAAAACACCGACTGATCTTACACGTTGCTTATCAAAAGAAAGTATTACTAACACCGAAGAAGCAATTAAATTATCGAAATACTGTAGAGATTTCCTGCATAAATTACCGAATAAGAAATTTTGCCTAGATACTGTATGCATCCGGAGATGTTGTAATCCTAAATATAATAGCTATACTCAATTGTTGCCGAAATTAAAAAATAATTCTCAAAGTTTATTACAAGTACATTCACCTTTATTTAGGAATGCAGAAAAAGGACAGAATTCTGTTACCCTAAATGATGTATCAAAAGAAATATTTATAAATAGATTAAAAAGCTATTTGTTAGATAAATTAAAACAACCCTTACATATTAAGCGCACCACCTCAGATAATTCCATCATAATTATAAGAAAAGACGATAGTAAAAATCAGATGTTGTTAAATATTACAAAATCTAGCAATGTTTATGTGCTACCAAATACAAAAATAATTGATCGAAAAGATGTCAATGTAAATGATAAAAGTGACAATACGTTGGCGTTAGCAGTAACACACTCTCAATTACATAATCAAGGATATGTTACATCAAAAAATTATTTTAAGACGGCTAAGATGTGTTATGACTATTTTTCACAGCCAATCCAAACTGAAGCCATTCAAAATTCTGAATCCTTTAGTAATTCTTTTTCGACTAGTATATATGATAAACGTTTAATTACAAGTAAGAGTAGCGTTCACTTAACAAAATCAGAAAAAACTTTACCTCATATTGTGATTAAACCTACACCGAAACTGTCTTGCATACATCATACTTGTGAGTCAAAAGTGTCGTCATTTGAAGATATGCAATTTTCGGTATTGGATAATAAAGTTGAAGAAGTAAGTCAAGTCCACAGTAATATTATAGATAAAAATAATAATTCTAATTGGGATTCCTTGAGTTTTTTACCACCACAACTACCAGCTTTTCTTGGAGATGTTACCTATCTATATAATTAAACTTGTTGAATTACAATTATCTTAAAGTGAGTAACGTACAAATTACCGGTAAATAATGTTCATTTGGATTTTGAAGTATAAGGACGAAATGAAATTGAAAATATATTTGTCATTGAGTTAGTGTGACGTTAATAAATATGTTAAACTGTTTGGTTTATACTTTGTTTTTATGGTTTATATATTATATCGTGTATTGAATTTGACTGTGCGACTGAAATTCTAATTGTTAAGTGTGGCTATTTTAGAAAATATACTAAAGATTGTTGAGGACTCTCTGTGTAGCCATTTCGTTCAAATATCGTATAAATTATAAACAAAGAACTACCTACTGTTGTTTATAATTTATATATTTTACTACGGTACTCTTTTATTGCTAAAGTATTTAAACAATTATTTGTAATACATAATCTGTCTTTTTTAAGGTTTAATATTTATTTATAAATTTAATTAATTAATTTGTTACGCAATAGAAATATTTATTTAGTAGAAAGAGCTGAAGAACTGCGTAGTATTAACTACGGCGAATAAGATAATGTAAGAAAACAGTAATGGTATTGCCAACATTAACTTCTGATTACTCCCTCGTAAGGGACGGAACTATAAACTTTTACAGGCGGTCGATCAATGCAGTACACTGACTCATTTGTATTCCGGGTAAGATCTTTACAAAATCAAGGAGTATGTGATTCGATTTCTATACGCTTAAGGATCTATATAGAGCAGCTTTAACATAATATTGTCATGTTAATTTTTTAAACTGCAAAACTTTCTTATAACGAAATTCTAAGTCTAGCTGCATATTTTGACGTAACTTTTTTATCTCTCGGTTAATAATAATTTACTTTCCAACTGATTGATTGATGTAATTTTTTTTGTATTGTATCAGTTATTTACTATATTTATTTATTTTATAAAATGATTGCGATTAGCGAATACACAGTCCACCTGATGGTAAGTAAATGATATCACCGATAGACCATCCATTTATCCTCGAACCAGACTCAAAAAGTTGATGCGTTGTCACGCCCGAGGACTAAGACGGAATGCCTCGTGACCAGAAAAAGGGGTCTCCGGTTCTCTATACTGACTATACGCAACACAGCAGCATTGTACTGCTGTTTCAGGCTGGCGTTCTGTGAGAGCGTGGTCCTACCCCGGCCGAACAAACCCATTCGTGCCGCAGCTATATATATATATATATATACATAGAGATGCAGCGTAACAAGTTACGTGTAATTTTTTTTTAATTTAGTAACAATAAACAATCCCTTATATCGAGTAACGTTTGTATCTCGTTCAATGGGCTTACAATAAAAAAAAAAAAACATGTACACGTGATGCACACGAATATCTAACCAAAGATTTATATGACCTGACTACTAACATCTCTGCACTACTCTAAGGTAGAATGGTAGATAATGCCTCAGAGTATAAATGCAATTAAATAAATAAAAACTAATATGTTTATGAAGTTGTAAAATTGTTTCGAGAAATATTGTTGTGTTTGTTTCATTATTATTATTTCTGCCTAAAGGGTATAGAGAGCCAATATAACTACAGGCTGTGAGGCATTCCATCTCAGTACACAGAGGCGACAACGCATCTGTAGTATTCTTTGTTTGAAATTGGCTGCATGTGTTCATATAATGCAGTAGCCACTTATCAGTTTTATAAAAAAAAAAATGTAAAATTTTGAACATAATTTTAGAATATTTGATATTTTAAACTATGGAACACTCTCTGTCGTCGAAATCGATCTGTATAAATGTTATCAACCGATGATTCAGTTGATGGCTACACGGTATATATAAACTATTTTTTAATATTGAAACAGGTAAAATCAACACCTAGCAACTCGTTCAAGTTACCGTGCTTAGTCAGTCGGATATGTCAATCGAGTGCCTCGCCACGATCTCCATACTAAACAGGTGCTCATGTAAATTTGCCGAGCACGGTGTCCCGTCAAAACAACCCTATAATTTGCACAAATTATTCCTATAAGCTATATATAGTTATATATTTATAGTTCTATAATATAGTAAGGGCTATAGGATCAATTGAAATTTTTTGGTCCAACCCGCGATTCGTATCCGGACACCTCATGATCAGCGGTAGCGCTTAGGACCACTAGACCAACGAAGCAGTCAGCAGCGTATTACTATCTCGAAAATTGAAAGTACTGGCTGTGCCCCGCGGTTTCACCCGCGTAAATCACGCACCTGAGCCGCGCAACATGACACCTATAGTAAGGTCCGAAAGCTTCTGACCTGAACTATAAAATGATGTATAGACCTCAAACTACTATAATTTTTTTTAGATTTAATCTCCCTTTATTTCAATACACTTTTCACAGCGCTTTGATAATTTTTCTACTGGGTGGCGATTAGGTTATCACATTAAATAACTCAGCGGTATATACAAGTTCATACGAGTATATGTTGATTAAAATAATAAAATAAACTATTCTACCAAAAGTAAAAAAATGCATCTTTCAAATAGCAACGGTGCGGCAGGTACGCAGTGCTCACGCGGCATCGACAAAGGTAATTATTTACCTACATTTTTTCGTTCATAAGTAATTAGGCAAAAAACGAAAAAGAGGGCTATTGCGACTAGAATGTTAATTATTATATATTTTTTTAGTTGTGTATGTTCAAAGAACGTTATATAGGATAAGTATTTTCATTTAATGTGATAACCTTATCGCCAACCCGTATACCTGTAAAAACAGTCTAAAT